ACGTCCCTTACGTGGAAATAGCAGCTGGTATAGTTGCCAGTAACAGTCGTTGCTCCAACTGTCTGGTTAAGGAGTTTCCCTCATCCGAAAATTGAAAATGCACGGTTTCACACGTTGGATAGTTCGAAATCTGAACTTTCTATGATACCTAAAAATATTTAGGGTATTATAAGGAATCTTAGTCCGCTATCTTGAGAAAGACCGTCATCGTTGTCTTGACCTTGATTGTGGTCTACTACTTTGTGCTCGTAGGCTCGACATATCAGCTTCTAACTTTTTTTATCTGGGTATCTAATGCTGAAGGAGCCGATAGTATAGGTGTGTCCGCCGTAGATGTGGCCACAATAGTTAACTCATTACATGTGGGTGATGATATGATAAATATAAATTTAGATAGATACAAAAAAATGTAATCGAAAAATGATTTTAACTTTAATATATGGTCTATAACACTGTAAACGTCCAAGCAGTCTCACCAGTTTAGTGTGTAGATGGCTTAAAAATAAACTCTTAACGGTACGCAATATCAGAATAAAATTCCAAATTGTTGGAAGAATACTGAGCCAGGATATTATAAAAATGCAGATAATGAGTTATACAAGTCAATCATTACTTGAAAATACAGTTATAGTTCACTGCAAATTGATAGCATAATCCACTGATCCATTTCACTGCTGGGGACGTGTTCACTGGTTAAAGTTATTGAATAGTTTCCGGAAGAAGATGAGACGTTCCTGAGAATTCTAAAAGCACCATTGAGAACACAAAGTGATGGACAGCGTGACTATATTTTCATTCGAATGCCAAAGTTATGCTGTATACATTTGAGAAAGAAGTCGAATAAACAAAAGTTATGTACAATATATCCATTTTTAACATCTGGCAAAGCTGTACAAATTTATTGCTCAGGACTTCACAGGTTGAAGAATTGTTATATAAAAGGAGGAACCGAGAAGAGAAGGAGTACTATCATATCCTTCTCTGCAAATAGTTGTAGAAAACCTTTATTTAACGATGAGTTTACCATTTATTTTTAAAATATTCCCGTCGGTACGATTCCACATGAGATTCGGTCTCGTGTGATAAACCCTGAGATTACCATCAGTTTGCTTTTCAAATCGTAATAATCTTTAAATTTGCTCCAGAGAATGGAAGTATTATTGGTCTCATGAAGCACACAGTGCAACTAGTTTCTGATTACTTTTGACTGAGCAGTGTATTATTACTTTTTCTCAAATTTTATTTCTCTTGCACCCCAAGTAGAACATCGGGCTTCAAGCCTCAAGTTTTGAAGTTTCAGTAGAAGCGGTGTTTTCTACGGGAAGCGGTTGCTAGCCTCACACCCGACCCACCCTCTTTACCGATCCGACTACCGGTTAGGCAATGTCTGGGAATTCGCCGGCCGGGAATCGAGCCCCACACCACTTGCATAGTTGGTAAATAATCTACAAACGAACCACTGACGCACACAAGACTTGGAGAGTACTCAACAGCTGTTTCGTCCCAGTTCCGAACTCTTCAGCGTCCACTGGAGTTCGGACCCCGAATCTCCCGGTTACAAGGCCAGCTTGTATATCATTCAACCTCTGGGACTTGGAGTAAGAAAAATTAATCTTTTAAATTAATTAGCTACAAAAAAGCATGTATGAGAAAGATGATAACTGAGGATAGAATGTGGACACAGTGATAAAGCAGAATTCCATAACAGAACAAATTTATTTGATAAGAAGCACACAAAGTAATCCGGTGGTATTTATCTGCCAATGATGTTTCATAATCATACAGCTTTCAGATTTTGTTTGTATGGTTCTAGCATTTCTTATTCTTTGATTTTATGGATAATAATAGTCTCCATAACTCTGCTGTTGTTGTTGCATAATTCCTATTGCCTACATTTGGTGTAGATTTAGCAATTACTCTCTCCCTACACCTAACTTTATTACCTAAGTTATTCCAGTTAGTTAAAATATCCAGCGACGGGTGTAGGTGGTTCAAGAGTGTAATGCTTATCGATCATGTACGTGTCCCAGGGTTCGATCCCCGACTAAAGATCTGCTAATTGTCTCTCAGGCGATAGTTAGACCGGTAAACACGGAAGGTTGGGCGTCAGGCTAGCAACCCCAGCTAGTAAAATTAAAATCACTGCTGCCAAAATTTCAAAGACCTAGCTTGAAGCCCTATGTTATACTCGGATAGTAAAGGAATAAAACAAAATAAAAGTAATAATATTATATCCAGTAGCATATTCAGTTTTATAACATACTGACGCATATTTTGAGTGTGACTGGCACTTGTCCCATTAGAAAAATGTGCGATGATGAATCACCTATATTCGGCTTTACTGATAATAGTTGTTTTTCTCATCTTATGTTACTCAAGGGTCTTAAAATTGAACCGAGTCCTCTGGCTATGTATACGTACTTTACACAACGAGTGAAGAAGCATTTACACATAGTACTTGTCATGAGTCCGATTGGTGATGCATTCCGATCACGATTACGTATGTTTCCATCGTTGATTAACTGTTGCACAATCGACTGGTTTCATGTAAGTCCTTATTCACTGTTTTGATGGCTATTTCAAGGAAGTCAATTTTATGTTAACATTAATATTGACATTACATGTGTATTTTTAGTGGACAGAGTGCATTTAAAGATAATTGTTGAGTCTCAGGCTTTGTATGCAATGAAGCAAGACTATTTAATTTTCAAGTCAAGATTGAAAGTAACCTTCTAAGATAAGGTGGCGTACTGTCGCCGACTATCTGCATGATTGCAGTGTAATGAGGATTATACGGCAGGTCGTACGTGATTAAGAAGACGCAAGGATATTATCAGGTGTACAATTAGCTAAAACCAACAAAGTGACAGAACAGGAAGGCAAAGATACAACTTCATGTGATCATAAAGAAGACATACGTGATGAATATATACAACCAACAACAACCACAGAAGAAATCTAAAGTAAGTCATTACCTTCGTTTGCCCAGGAAGCATCGTTCCAGGCTACAGGTAGCAGGACTGAGGACGTCAAAGCAAGACATGCGCCTATTAATCTGAAATCACCAAATAAGATCTACGGCACATAGCAACACTAGGAAAAAGATCAGAATTTTTAACACTCATGAGAAGACATCACACACCATATCCTCAACTGCAGCCTGAATGGGAAGCGACGGTTTAGTGTATAGTAGGTACAGTCAAATAATAGGATGAGAATCATTATAGAAAAAAAAGTAGAATATTGACATACTAATACGAAGATGAACAGTTATGCCTATAGAGTAATGATACAGTAAGCAAAACGCAAACTATGCTACTTACTATTCAGTGGATCTTGACTCAAGCCCAGTACCCCACACATCAATCGCTAAGGCGATATCCACTAGGCCAGTTGGGCCACAAGTCGCAGTGGCAACACTATCACTCACTGGGCACCGCAGGTACATCCAACTAACGAGTCTCAAATAGGGCGAAATACCCACTCGGGATTCCACTCCTAGTCATCATCCAAAAAATAACGTCATGTTAATTCTCAGACGTCGACGAGGCATCTGTGAAAGGAGCTGACATGTCAATGAAGACGAAATATTTCTGTCCAATATAATCAATTAACGAGGAAAATACAAAATTAACTTTAATATATACTACTTATGGCTTATAAGTAGTATGAGGTTGAAGGGGAGGAAAACAGTGTAAACACATCAATCGCTGGAGGCTAGTTAGAAAAAGAATCAACAGACTGAATGTACTAACCATTTCCAATAGCTACGGTGAAGTGATTACTGACAAAATTCATAAGGTTCGTTCAACGTTTCAGGGTTTGTATCATGTTTGAAGCAAGCATCGCGATATTTGATTTTCTCACCGTGCTTAACACCAATGAGACGTGGTCAGTGATAGCACGAAGATATGAAGAGATTTGAGATTTTTTTATCTTCATTTACTTGACAAACTAGGTGAACAAAAAATGGTGAGCGTTGTTGAAAAAAGACATCATCTAGGATAACTGAGGCAAGTCGATCATTAAGACTTTATATCTTCATCAACTGAGAGACATGCCAAGTCATCGCTTTCCTTTATAGCAATGTTAAGTAAAATAGTAATAGGTTGGAAAAAAGTTAAATGCGGTTAGACTAATACAAGGAACTAATCCATGGATTCACTGGTTGTTATTATCTGTTATAGAAGGTGTGGGTCGTCTGACTGTGCTCTTGAGGATGCAATGAGTCAACAGTCTGAGATTGTTGGAAATATAGCAAAAAACCATTTATAATGTTTTAAATGTATTCAGTCGTTATTGGTTATTTAGATTTTAGGAATTCTAATCAGTTTTCGTCCAATTTTCCCCTTCCTTTTAAGTATCTTTGCCCATTTTGTATTCTCTTTGCTTTTCTCAACCTGGTCATCTTGCAATGCTGCGCCTCCGTACAAAGTTTTTATGCTGATATGTCGATCAGTCTTCTCTGCATGTGTTTCTACTGACGACGTTATTCATGGTTTAGTTTCGCCGTATTTGAACAATCCTGAAAAAGGATGTTAGTTGAATGCATGCATTTAACAAACTTTAGTGTTCATGTAGTACTATTATATGATTAGGCATACAGGGCTGTTACACAGTTTACTCTTCTTTCAGCGGTAACTAGTCATCCAACAGGGTGTCTAAACCCACTAAGGCTGAACAGTTTCAATTTAAGGTTAGACGACTGACTGACATCAGTTAGAGAACCAGTGGAAACCAGGGAGTACTGAACAGCTGTCTTATTCCAGCCTTGGGGCTCTTCAACAGCACACACACAACAATCGGACTTATAACCTTCTGGTGTTAGGAAGAACCTGTTGACCATTCAGCTGTTCTCTAACAGATATCAGCTTGTATCCTGCCTTCAAAACCAGTCAAACTCTTCCAAACCAACACTTGAGAATCTTAATCTCTTATTATTTCAAATGCCATTGCTTATATCTTTTCAACGTAATATATATCCATACGCACAGATCTGGCCCGAAGATGCTTTGGAGATGGTTGCTAATAAACACTTTGAAGGTATTGAATTCGGTGAAAATGCACGTGAATCCTCTGTGATATTGTGTAAACACTTTCATGAAAGTGTAAGGAAACTATCCGAGAGGTGAGTTCACTGTTTACAGCTATCAGTTGTTAATATTTTTATCTCACTTATAATGTAATACAACCAGAGAAGGTCATGAATGATCCCATGAGCTTTTTAACTTCACCAAATAAACTGAACACAAAGTCGCGCAAAGAAGAGTGTCATAAGTGCCAGCTATGTGCAAAATAAAACCAGAAATAAAAAAAATATAATGACCGGTTTTCATGAATACAAATAACGAAACGTGGCATCACGCTGCTAAGAAAAAACAATTGGTTACCTCTGGCAACCATAAAGTTGTCTAAACCATAGCTCAGTATGTGCGAAGCTGTTGCGACTATTATTTCCTGTGGGAGGTGTAGACAAAACTAATGAACTAACCTTGGTTTTTGAAACTTGGATTAGTTTTTACGTAACTTTTCAGGATAGGCATTTTGTATATAGTTTAAAAAAGATGTAAGAAATATACAACATTTTGATTTCAGAGATTTATCTTTTTTTTTAAATACTTGTGTAGTCTGCTACCGAAACTTCAAGTCTCTAGCATGAAGCCTTATTTTCCACTGTGAGCGTAAAGGAATTTATAAAAATTTTCACAAAGTGAATAATTAACTTTGTCACTGTTTATTTTATAAATATCCTGAGAAAATTACCTTACAAAGTGCAAGCCACATAATCCTGTTCAGCAGAGACGCAAGATCCTTTTATGTGCTTCGATAGGGAAATGGAATATTGTGATACACATTTCGCAACTTCGAAATACAGGAACTTTATCTGGAGTAAGGCTCCACTGCATAATAGTTTAAGAGTAAGTGGCCGATTGATGGAGTAATTAAATGGCTTCATCTGCCTCATTCATATTATACCCAGTACATGCATCTGTAGTACCCAAGAAACATGATGTTTGGCTCATTGTCAAAAACAGGGTTTTCGGTGCATCATTTTGGCCTAGTTTTTTTATGCAGCTGTGACAAAAGATATTTGATAGTGAATATCTTAGGGTGGCACAGCGGTAGATTGCTCACCAACCAGCCACGCATATGGCTCGGGGCTCAATTCCCGGCTAACTAACTCCTAAGCCTCCCTAAGTCGGTAATAAGACGGGTAAAAAGGGGAATTTGTCAGTGAGACTAGCAAACTCACTCCGTAAAAATAAACACCACTACTAACGAAACTTCAAAGCCCAAGCTTAAAGCCCTATATTCCACTCTAGACGTACAGGAATAAAATAAATAAAATGATAATAAATAGTCTTTGGGTGGGTGATGCGCCTGTTAGTATCAGTCAGTGAAGGATGTGAATAAGGTAGAGGTGAAAATGTTGCTATGCACGTATTGCTGGTCAGGTAGTTATAGTGAAAAACACAGTTCCACATCATTCTAGAAAGTCGTTGAATGTTAGTTCACTGTATGTCACGTGAACATTCTTCACGAAGTCATTGAAAATCCGCACTTATCCTGGTGAAATCTTTCCATATTTTATCTTTTTTTTCTAAAAATTGTTATCACACTGAATTTGATATTTATAAAACTATACAATGACATTCTTTTATCACACCTCTTCCTTTACTTATGGAGCAGTAACATATATAGGGAATATTCATAGGTACTGATACGAAGTCATATAGTAATGCAGTGTGAATACTGGTTAACGGGCCACTTTACTCCTGTTTTCGAACAGAGAGGAGCGCATACTGTTCACAAGATACGTCCAAATAGGTCCATATATGTTGTGGTTAGATCATCCAGGAAGGATTTTCCAAACAGTTTTTCCATTACTGACCCGATATTCAAACTGTAGATCATGTTGCTTGTTTCTTATTGTCTAACAAATCTGATCTCTATCAATCAGTTCGCTAATTGTAGTATATGTGAAGGAAATTTGAGAAACTACTGTCAGAACATGGGAACAGTTGTCGTCCGGTTAGTTATAAATGCATTCTTTTCCATTCACTAATATGAAGACTAAAAGACGACAAAGCCCACATCGTCGATAAGACGAATTGCATCAAGCATGAAAAACACACAATACTAGCTAAAGTTGTCTCTATCGTTTATCTTTGCATTAAAACGCATAAATTAGGAACACCTGAATGTGTAAGTGCACATAGAATTGACCCACCTAGACAACTTGTCATTCCCCTTGAGCAATCATAATTGGTCGACTGGAAAATGACGAACAAAGTGCAGGAGCAGTATAAGTCCGTTTTATGGCTCTCTCTCCACATAGTCTTAGATGTAGAACTTCGCTAGCCACGTCCCCACTTAGTTGCAGTTTCAGAAACACTTGTTTCTTTTTAATCGTCGTCAGTTTCTCTCTATTATACATGGTGTTCATGTGTCTCCCTACAAATCTACTAAGATAACCCATTTGGAGCAGCGTATTTCTAATGTATCCTAATTCATTTTCTCTAGGGAGTTATCTGTACACATCCATCTTGCTCTATTCGTGAGGGGCATCCGACCAAATTGATTTTGTGTGCCGGGTTGGTACAGAACAGAAGAAATGTGTATACTGTCCAGCATAAGCCTTATTATCATTATTTTTGTTATCATTATAACCGGCGTTATTACTGATGTTCATAACATTTAACAATTATTATTATTAGTAGTAGTGGTAGCAGCATTACTTGATCCACAAACTCACCGTTCTGGGTCAATTTTTTTTATATATAAGACATTCAAGATCATCCAGAAAGATAGTTATTTCATTCGTGTGGAGTTTCAAAGCCCCTTTTGCTTTGAAATTAGTGCTGAACCAGAAAACACAATGGTTAAAGTCTCTTTACAGACTAAATGACATTATGGCTTTATCCACTTGATAACATATATATATATATATATATATCCGATTGCGACATACTCAGGCCTTTCGGGTTTGTCAATAAACCAAATACTTGTCATAGTGAACTGTAACGAAAAACACCACTGTCTGTCTTCTTTTTCTGCAGATTCTTGGAAATTTTACGACGACACAGCTATGTAACGCCAACATCATACTTGGAAATGATACTTACATTCAAAAAGCTACTGCACAAAAAGCGTACAGAGCTGACAACAATGCGTAATCGCTATTTAAGCGGTTTAGACAAGTTAGAATTCGCTGCCAGTGAAGTTGGTAAAATGCAAAAGGAACTGCGTGATCTACAACCATTGCTTATGGAGACCAGTACAGAGACTGACATTCTGCTGAATAAAATTGCACAAGATTCTGTTGAAGTTGAAGCTCAGCGTGAAATTGTTGCATCCGATGAACTAATAGCTAATAAAGCAGCCGCTGCTTCAAAAGCAATTAAAGATGAATGTGAAGCAGATTTGGCTGAGGCTATGCCAATTCTAAACGACGCTCTGGCATCACTAGACACACTAAAACAGAGTGTAAGTTTTGTTTTTTGTTAACACTTTATCGCTATTAATACTCATAAAAATAGTCACAAATCCAGATTTCCACATGTAAGCTTTAAGACCATTAAAGTTTCGATGAATCCAGCAAGTTTATGTTAGATAATCAGTTTGAGAATCGTTACAAACCAAGGAGTAGTGGACAACTGTTTCGTACTCTCCAGAAGTACACCCCCATGAACCCACCGGAGATCAAACCTGGTGTCTCTAGGTAACGAAGTAAGGCCATTTACCATTCAGCAGCTGGAAGCTTGGTACTTTGTGAATCCTAACTCCTGCCAAAGCCCTCGATCTGCGGCAGAGTTATGGGTGCGTATTGTTGAAGAGTCCAAAACTGAAGCAGAAAACCTGTCCACTATTCTCCAATCTTTAGTGGTGCTCTAAATGATATTAGTTCTTGATCTAATTAGAAATTGATGAGATCTCCGTATAACAACACTTTAAAATAGTGCAATTATATATATATATATATGTCAGGGTTCAAATAAAATCATTGGCGTCAATCAATAATAGGCTGTGTGACAGCAGCTGGACTAAATTTTGAATTACGCTCTTTGAATTCTGTCATGTTGGCTGAACAGCGACCTTTTCATACTAAAACCTGTAAAGCATGTATTTATTTCTTCATGAGACTGTTGCCACACACAAATGTATGGCTGCAAACTGTGTTGAAACATCTGTTTGTCGCTCCTTGTTGGCAAACGGATCTCTCGCTGATGCAATTTTGTCACCTTTACGATAGAATACTCTTGGTTTCTTATCCTATCATCAAGGTTACAAGAAGCTTAGATTCATTCTTGCGAAGAGTTGATACTTTATCATGATGTAATGTCGGATTCGAAAATATGAAACAAGACAGTACTGTAACGTCTACACGGAATCAATTAGACTCCAGCCATACACACTTGAAGCCAAAATAACTCTTATTTTCTGGGTTCTAGGAAAAAGCAGTGTGGTTCAATCATTACCTTAGCCCAACATCTTTGTATACTCAACCCCGACAATAGCCATATTCATCTCTGGTGAATCTCTTGTAACTAGCTATTCAGATGCCTAATCGGTTCATTGACGGTTTTTAAAGTTGCTTTATTTTTCTGGTCTCTTCCACATTCAGGATATCACTCTGGTAAAATCAATGAAAAATCCACCAAGTATTGTTAAATTAGTCATGGAAGCTGTCTGTATCATGATGGGAGAAAAAGCTGACCGTAAACCAGACGGTACAGGTCGTATGGTTGAGGACTATTGGGGACCGTCACTAAAGCTGCTAGGTGATATTAAGTTTTTAGAACGTTTGAAAAACTATCAGATTGACAATATCCCAGTCAATATAATGAAGAAGATTCGTGAAAATTACATACCGAATACGGAATTCGATCCGAAGATTGTACGGAACGCAAGTACAGCGTGTGAAGGTCTATGCAAATGGATTATAGCCCTAGATAAGTATGATAAGGTAGCGAAGATTGTTGCACCGAAAAAGGAGAAACTGGCTATCGCTGAGGCTGAACTAGAAGTTCAGGTGAGTAAATAATATATCCATATTAATTTTTGAAAATTAAAATAGCTAGGCACATAACAACAAGAATCATTTCTGCCACGGAAACATACTTCTTGATAAGGAAAAAAACCTGACACTTTGATAGATTCTGGAACGTTGATAAAGTTAACAGCGTACAATACTTACCATATTTCTTGACTTAAAAACAGAGTTTAACCCTGCCAGTGGAGTATTGCTGAAACAATGTCCAGGAAGAAAGTATCGAAAAAATATATTGCACTTGTCAAGACTAGTGCATCATCAGTGTTAGAACTTATGGATACTTGTCACCTGAAGTAATGACAACTAATAATATCTGTCAAGGATTCTCAATAACTTCATTTTAGTTTAATTTCACTGTAGATGTATTAATAGATGTGGCTTATAGGTGTAATTGTTACCAAGGTATGGTCTCATTGATTTAAAGTGTACGGATTCCTTCTGCGTGAAAAAAAAAGAAGTTTACTGAAGAGTCTGAGCAGAAATCTTGATATGTTTGGCATGTGTGATGATGCAGTAGGAGTGATGTCCTAGGATTCCTACTCTTAGGATAATGAGGAAAATGACTGAATGTGTCGGCCACTTCACCTATTGCATCAACCACAATTAACTGATTGCTGAGGAAATTTCAGCTTGGATAAAAAACGCTCGTGTGGTGTTCGCTAATTATCGTCAGCTTTCGCGAAGCTTGGAATCTGGCCCTGCAGTTCGCTCCATCTCTCATTATATCTACGAAACACGGCCATTGGAAGTGGAAGATATGAAGAGACTAGACATCTTTAACGATATGTGCTTGTTTATATATGTCCAAACCAAGTTTACTTTTAACAGTGTGAAAGAATTTGGGCTTCGGGTATATGAAATTCATTATAATAAAGGCTTTTTATATTTCCCAGTGAACGAAAAACAAAACGATATTGCTGTTTTCACTGATATCTCGCTATTTAAAGTGCTACCAATGGCTTCATCAAAGTAATACTATTAAGCCAGAAGAATTTACAAAATCTCAGTTTATGTATATAACAACTTAATTATCGTTCATCAGCAGTGGGTAATTTTTACGTTGTCAAGTTGGCCAATTGGTAAAGATAACAAAACCAAGTGCAGATTGCTGGATTTGATAAATGTGTAAAATTATAAAACAGCGGGTGTTGATTTAATGAAATTGCCTATCACATTCGTGTTAATTTTGTCATTTTATGGAGGAGGGGTACGTTGTAACCAGGTCAAATTATGTTTAAATCTATCATTCTTATTCAGAAAATTTGGATTCCACTTGATATGAAGTGCTTCTGATATTAGAAGTTCTTTGTGATTTGTGGAATTTTTCTGGATGATTTCAATATTCTTTTGTATACATAGTTCTGGTTGCACCAACTGGATGGCTAGGGCTTCTGCGATGCAAAGAGTCTCTTTTCGGCGAATTCATTTTCAAAGCTGTACAATCGCAAATATATATGGTTATTTTGTGTGTGTGTGTGTATACATTAAATTTGTCAAACAAAATACGGTTAGTAAGTTCAAATGAATTGGATGTTAATAAGAGGATAGCAACAAAAGTGATGAGTTGTCAAAAACGATTGTTAAAGAGGAGTAAGTTCAGGTGAATTGGATGTTCATATAAGAGGGTAGTAACAAAAGTGATGAGTTGTCATAAATGATTGTTAAATAAGAGTTACGTAATGGCAAGAATAGTTTGATGAATGAGTTGTACTCAAAGGGTGAGCATGGAAACAAAAAAATATACAGAATTACACAAGGGTTATAAGTTAGAAAAATAAGCATACAAACAGAAATAAGGTCAAATCAAACAAACAAAGAAGAGTTGGGTCAAATCAACGGAGTTGTTACCATGCGAGTAGAAGTGGTTGGATAATTTTCTTTTGTATACATAGTTCTGGTTGCACCAACTGGATGGCTAGGGCTTCTGCGATGCAAAGAGTCTCTTTTCGGCGAATTCATTTTCAAAGCTGTACAATCGCAAATATATATGGTTATTTTGTGTGTGTGTGTGTATACATTAAATTTGTCAAACAAAATACGGTTAGTAAGTTCAAATGAATTGGATGTTAATAAGAGGATAGCAACAAAAGTGATGAGTTGTCAAAAACGATTGTTAAAGAGGAGTAAGTTCAGGTGAATTGGATGTTCATATAAGAGGGTAGTAACAAAAGTGATGAGTTGTCATAAATGATTGTTAAATAAGAGTTACGTAATGGCAAGAATAGTTTGATGAATGAGTTGTACTCAAAGGGTGAGCATGGAAACAAAAAAAAATATACAGAATTACACAAGGGTTATAAGTTAGAAAAATAAGCATACAAACAGAAATAAGGTCAAATCAAACAAACAAAGAAGAGTTGGGTCAAATCAACGGAGTTGTTACCATGCGAGTAGAAGTGGTTGGATAATTTTCTTTTGTATACATAGTTCTGGTTGCACCAACTGGATGGCTAGGGCTTCTGCGATGCAAAGAGTCTCTTTTCGGCGAATTCATTTTCAAAGCTGTACAATCGCAAATATATATGGTTATTTTGTGTGTGTGTGTGTATACATTAAATTTGTCAAACAAAATACGGTTAGTAAGTTCAAATGAATTGGATGTTAATAAGAGGATAGCAACAAAAGTGATGAGTTGTCAAAAACGATTGTTAAAGAGGAGTAAGTTCAGGTGAATTGGATGTTCATATAAGAGGGTAGTAACAAAAGTGATGAGTTGTCATAAATGATTGTTAAATAAGAGTTACGTAATGGCAAGAATAGTTTGATGAATGAGTGTGTAATTCTGTATATTTTTTTGTTTCCATGCTCACCCTTTGAGTACAACTCATTCATCAAACTATTCTTGCCATTACGTAACTCTTATTTAACAATCATTTATGACAACTCATCACTTTTGTTACTACCCTCTTATATGAACATCCAATTCACCTGAACTTACTCCTCTTTAACAATCGTTTTTGACAACTCATCACTTTTGTTGCTATCCTCTTATTAACATCCAATTCATTTGAACTTACTAACCGTATTTTGTTTGACAAATTTAATGTATACACACACACACACAAAATAACCATATATATTTGCGATTGTACAGCTTTGAAAATGAATTCGCCGAAAAGAGACTCTTTGCATCGCAGAAGCCCTAGCCATCCAGTTGATTTCAATATTGTCAAAATCAATTTTATGACCTGATTTTATAGCGTGTAGACCTATGGCTGATGATTTTTCAAGCTTTTCTAGTTCAATTGGATTTCTCGGTGGTTGAACTGAAGCTCTATGGAGTTCATTTCTTCTGATTTTGATTTCTCGCGATGTCCGTCCTATGCATATCGCATCACATTCCGAGCATTTCATCTTATATACACAATTAGATAGAGAATCCTTAGGGATTGGTCTTTTATATGGACAAGGTTGCTTTGTAGTGTGTCTGATGTTTTGAAGAAAACTATGATATAGTACTTATTGAGGACTCTTCTGATATCGTCTGATGTCTCCGCTCTATATGGAATGACAACTGTTGAGGCCCATGTTTGATATTTCTTCTTTTTCTTTCTCATCTGTTATCAGAAAGTGTGCTCGTCTAAGATGACTTGAAATAACTGATACCTTTACGCTGATGGGGTGTGATGATCCGAAGTCTAAATATTAACTGGAGTAGGTTTTCTTCCTGAATATAGGTATACTAAAATATCCGTTTTCCCTCCCCTTAACTAGGCAGTCTAGAAATGATAGTTTACCGACGTTTGATTCTGCCTCCGAAGTAAACTGGATTCCGGGAGATAGGTTGTTCAGTTTCTCCAAGTATGAACTGTGTAGATCTCGTTTTAGTACTACAAAAGTATCATCTACTTATCTTAACCATATTTTAGGAGTGAGTATTCTTGAAAAGATGTTATTTTCGAATTTATTCATGAAAAGGTCGGCAACTATTGGGGAAACTGATGAAGCCATAGCAACACCATTTGTTTGTCTATATAAATTCCCTTTAAATGTAAAATAATTACTTTCTAGACAGAATTTCAAGCTCTTAATTGTTTAACTGGTGTCTAGTGGACATCTTTGTGGTAGGGTTGTATCTGATTCTAGTAAACGCAAAATGATATCAAGACTTTCGGTAGTGGGAATACTAGTATATAATGAGTTAATATCATAGCTTACCATAATGTCTTCTTTATTAATTTCTCGGTGTTCTATTTGGGATTTGAAATCAAATGAATTTCTCACAATATTTTGAGTGTCCTTTTGTAGTGGTTATAGTATCGAGAGTAAGTATTTAGATAGGTTGTATGTCGGTGAGTTGGTGAAATTCACTAGTGGTCTTAATGGGACTGTGGGTTTATGTATCTTTGGTTGACCGTAGAATCTTGAAGGTACATAAGATTTTGGTTTTAGTTCTTGAAGGAGTCTGTTGGTGTGCGATTTCATGTTGTTGAACTCTGCAGATTTCTTCTTTGTTTATTCATTCATATAGTTAGTTAAATTGGCAGAGAAGAAAGCTGCACTGGACGAAGTTCAGGCTAAATTTCAAGCTCTACAAGACCAGTTGGATGAAATGCAAAAGAAGAAACAAGACCTAGAAGACAACATTGATTTATGCAGTAAAAAATTGGATCGTGCTGAAAAGCTGATCAGTGGATTAGGCGGGGAAAAAACACGTTGGACTGAAGCGGCTGCAATGTTAAAGGTTAAGTTTATTATTATCATCATCATTACTTTGCCCAATAGGTTCGTTGATTTTATGAAGATTTTTCTTCTATCCCTGTCATCGTTCAGCTGAATGCTCCTTTGAATCCTTGATAATTTGACAATAAAAAGTGCTGAATTAGTTTCACCAAACACTTCAGTTAGTGTCCTACTTGCCCAGCGTTTGCGTGCGTGGTTGAATTGCCTGAGTTTGTGAAGGCATAACCTTTTTTGACATTTTAAATTATTATTATTGCCTTGGGTTACGAATGGAACAGGGGGCTTCATTAGCGCATGCCCATTTCTCCAGTTTTAGGCAGTTCTTTACAGCTGCCTCCACGACTGCCCATAAGCGTCCATCTTCTCCCCACACGATTGCCTCCTTGTCAAACTTGGACTCATACCTAACCCGTCGTTTCCTATTTGAGTTCCTATCGAGGGATTGCAATTGATGTCATTTGACGGTCTCCTCAGTGTTTGCCCGGTGTATCTCCACTTCCTTCGCCATATTTGTTGAGCAATGGATTCATGATTGGTTCCTTCTCAGAGCTCTTTGTTATTAATCCTTTCTGACCTAGCATAGAGTGAAGGCAACTGTTGATAAAAGTCTGCAGCCCGTTCGAAATGCCGTTCCTAAATATCCAGGTCTTCGAACCGTATAGAAACACTCATCTGACATCAATGCTGAAAATAAGAAACCTGTTCTTTAAGCTGAGTACAACAAATTTCCGCACTGATTTCAGATTTCTGAATGTCTGTCTTGTCTTTCCGATCCTGTCTGGCTTTAACAGTTTCAACTGTTCCTCTTGACTGTAATTGAAACGATGCTTTCTAGACACATGAAGCAAGTAATGTCTTTTAAATTTCTCCCATTATTAGGGACTGATGCTTGTCGCTGCTTTGTTAGTTGTCGTCATTACCTTCGTCTCTTCTATGTTAATCTGAAGTCCTGTTTTTGCTGCTTTTTCCGCAAACGAATTGGTTTTCGCTTGTAGACCTTCGAGTTTGTTTAACATTACAGATAAATCATCCACAAAGTCCATATCTCCTGTACTCTTCTTATCAGTTCAACGCACTCCTGCCTTCTCTCCGGATTATCCAGTTCACCACAGTTAGGAATATCATCGATAAGTGTAGGAAGCGTAGCCTTACTCCTGTCTTCACTTCAAAGACTTCGCTGAGTTTTCCATTGTGATTCAGTTCACATGTGGTATCATCATGTAGCCACTGAATGAGGCTGATAAAGATTCGAGGCACTCCGTAGTGTTGAAGTAGTTCCCAAATCACTTTGAGGCCAACGCTGTCAAAGGCCTTTTAAAATTCGGTGAAGTTGAGGCAGAGTCTTGACTCCAAATCTATGTTCTGTTCAATGAGGATAGGTAGCGTCGCAGTTTGGTCTACATATATTTGCTTTTCCTGAATCCAGCCTGTTCCACAAAAGAACTTCTGCATCCATAGTCTCCTCTGGATGACATGACTTACTGCTAAGCTTGATGTAGACAACAACATGATTCTTTACTAGTTCTTGTAGAAACCTAAGGGAAACTTCTTTCGTTCGTCTTGCCACTGAACGTATCCTGACCAAAGCTAAATACAAACACCCAGTAAAACAAAATTAGTAAATCGGGATAAACAACGAATTACTCTTTTGCCAGTAGAAGTGTTTATCTGCATTAATGTCCTGGTGATGCGAATACAACTACAACATCAGAGGTGTAATCAATAGAATATCGATCCAAAATAGTTCTGTACGGATAGACACTATTTAAGGAAATATCATAACAATCTTGCTAAATTACTTCTGAACAACTCATCGCAGCTATGTTTTCTGCAGGACATATGGATGATATTGCCTACAAAAGATACTTCCAGGATTAAATTGTCAACGGAACTAATTCGGACGACTGCTAGTCGTCAGCTGTCTTTATTTTCATACATGCGTTGGCAGATAATGACAGGTATTATCCAACATCCAGTCACCTGAAAGCTGATGCTGACAAACCTTATCTCGAGAAATACTCATCGTTTTTATCGCAAAATAATATTTTACACAAAACTCACAAAATGCAGTGGTTGAAACAGTCAGTTTGAAACATAATCAACTCAGTAACAGAACTCTAGATGGTAGTGTTAGAACGTGGTGAGGGTAGAGGAATTTCAGCATTTCGGACAGATTTTAAATTACAAATACTGACAAGGTTAAGTACATGTACATGTTAAGCGATTTCTAAAATTATGCATTGAATCCCGTTTTACTTTGTGTTCTTTTCCTACCAGGAAAGATATGTTAATATCATTGGTGATGTTTTGCTAAGTGCTGGAGTTGTTGCTTACCTTGGCCCGTATACTGTCGACTTTCGATCCGGTATCCAAAATGAATGGCACGAATTATGTCAGAAACTAGAAATTCCATGCTCAGAAGTATTTCGCATTTCAGATGCTCTGGGGGATCCAGTGAAAATTCGATCATGGAATATCGCTGGTCTACCGGTGGACAGTTTTTCCATAGATAATGGTATAATTGTTACAAATTCTGACAGATGGTCACTGTGTATAGATCCACAAGGTATGGTTCCTAATTGGTTCTGTAAAATACTTAGTAGGCGAAATATGTGTAGAATACTCTTTTCCTAATTATTAGAATTAAAACAAACAGGAAAAGTTAACAAGGAAACTCATGGTATTTTGATGGGAGACAACTGCACATTCTGTCGCATGCATTACAAAGAAGAAAAATTGGCAGCGTTAAGTTGCGATAATTGTAACTTCAATAAAGATGTTAAATTTGTGGCGGGAACTCAAAAATATGATACACCATCTATTCACTTTTATACTGACATATTTATATTATTTTATTATTATTGTTCCCTTGGGTTCCTAGTGGAACATAGGGCTTCAATTGCACGTCTCCACTTGCTTCTATCTTCTGCTGTTTTTTTTCACTTGCATCCATGTCAGTCCATACTGTTTCAACTCTTCTTCACACGATCTCCTCCATGTCACTCTCGGACGTCCAACTCGCCGTCACTTCCCTTTCGGGTTCCACTCGACGGCCTGACACGCGATGTCACCCAGCGGCCTGCCCAGCGAGTGTCCATTCCATCTCCACTTTCTCATGCATATTTGTTGGGCGATTGGTTCCTATTTTGTTTGTTCCCATAGTTTCTTGTTGGTGATTCTTTCCGGCCAACTGACCTTCAGTATAGAACGAAGACAGTTGTTGATAAAGGTCTGCAACAGGCTGTTGGAAATATTCTTTGTGACCCGCCAAGTTTCTGATCCGTATAGAAGAACTGACGTTTATATTGAAAATCCGAATTTTGTTGTTGATGCTAAATGACGAAGATTTCCAGATTGGCATATTTACTGATCTTCTTTCGGGGCTTATTGACATTAGTTTCATGTTGTGTCAATAAGATATATTGTGACTCAATCACTTATACTACAGAAAAGCCTCTGAAATCCAAGTTTCTGGAAATAGATTAGGTAAAATAAACGCGCACGTCTCGAAGGGTTCAATCCCCGGGCGAAATACTCCTAAACCTGGCTTAACAGGCAGTAAGCCCAACAAAGAGGGAAGGTTGGGCGTCAAACTGCCAACTTCATGCCGTAAAAAGAATGACACCACTGTCACTTAATAATTCAAAGCTTGAAGCCCTATTTTCCACTGGGAACGCAAAGGAATAAAATATTAGTAATGACAAAACAAATGCAGGTACATCTTCCAGTTCTCCCAGTGTTTCTGGCTTGGTGTGTGCACACACTAACTTATAGGTAAAGCCTGCAGTACTCATTAGTGCGTTCCATGTAAACAAACTAGTTTAACTGCTGGAAACATTCGGTTTAGTAGTGACTTTGGTATTCATTGAAGCACACCAGCAACTGGGTCAGCTTTTCATAGTACTCAGATGAGCACAGATTTCATTTCAGAGTTGCCAATCGTCACTATCGCGTAAAAATATTTTTGTCACCGGTTTCTTGAATCAGTTTCTCAACCCTCATTTACGCAATACATTTCGAATAATATAATCACACATTTACTTGCCAATTCAGTGTATATAAAAAATAAAGGCCAAATAAAGTAAATAAAGTGACAAAAAGGATTTAAGAATAATTGACTACACGAGGTTTGGTTATCTAATCAAATAAGGATTACCAAGGAGGGTTAACAGTAACAATAAATTGTTTTTATACAGAGAGCGGGGGAGGGGGTCTTAAGTTTACGGATACCTATCGCCTCAGCGTCTTTCAATAAGCGCCATTGACCATTTTTATAGATGACATTAAGACCTGTTTCGACACCAATCTTATGATTCATATCAATTAGATGTTGGGCTATAGATGAAGTTGGTATTCTGCCACCTGCGTCTATTCATTTTTCACTATTCATTTGTCTTTCTAACCATTTCGGTATATGCTCTCCCACCCTCATATGCAAAGTGTGAATACTCCTCCCTATGTGTGGACACATACACATACACACACGTAAATTCGTGTATTGTGTGTGATGTGACACAATCACTTGTGCACTTTTGAGGTTTATAGTGGAGCATATTTTTGGCTTTTTCAATAATTTTAAGCACGACATCATAATAAGTCCTACGGATGATCAAGTTTAATCTCTGTCTTAAAATCCCACTATTTCCTTCCCCATTGTAAGGTTATTTAATGAAAAATCTCTCAAGGACAAAGTAGATTGTAGGTTTTAAAACTAACTGGCTTTGACACCAGTTTAAAAATTTAAAAGGATATCTGCCTTCAATAAGAGTATCTATCAATATTTTATTTCTATCCTCTATAACATCAGCTGTACAAATACTCTGAATTCTCTTGAATAAGCACTTTACTAAACCTCTCTTATGCAGCAGTCGACAGAAGCTGTGGAAATTCAAATATTGCCAAGGCCAAGTAGGATATCTAACGATCATCTATCCGACTTAGTAGTATCTCTAAAAATAGAAAATTGGTTGCGACATTCTTCCTCTCATGTAAAACTTTTATGATCTTTTACGGAGTCGAATCTACCTAGTAGATGACTCGCATCTTCGTGATCATCTCATCTGGAAATTATATATATATATATATATATATACATATCTCCTATAGAAGGGCACCTTAGCACTTAAATCAAGGGACAAGTTTTTAACATAAGACATAAACATTTGCTAAGAAAGGTCCTAATGGACTCCCCAATGGCGACACTATCCACTTGTTGGAAATGTTCACCTTCAAACGTGAAATGGACGTTGTCAGTACATAATGGTAATAAATCTTTGAAATAAGTTAAAGGGAAAAGGGATGAAAAAACAACTGGAAGATATATAGTCAAAAAGAATATTAACAGTCTTAATCAAAAGTACATTAGTAAACAAGGAATTAACATCGAAAGAATACATTTTCCTATCTTTTATGTTCAAATCCACATGACAGTCAACAAGTTCAAATGAATCTTTCATAGTAAACTTACATAGTCCATTGCGTACTGGACTTACAATATCAGCTAACCATTTTGCTAAATTATGTGTAGGAGAGTGACACATTGATAGAATTGGACGTAATGGATCATCAACCTTACGAATTCTCGATAATTCGTAAAGGCTTGGAAAGTCGCATCTATTGGGTTTTAATGAATTAACAACCATGCCACGAAGTTTTACTAAGTGAGAAGTTACTTTTCCTTCCGATTTTCTGATATCATCAGAAAGAACATCGGCTATCAGTTTGCTTTCGTCATTAAGAATGGATAATATCTTTGTTTTATAATCACTTCTGTCCATCACATTATCAGTTTTAAAAATATTCATCATTACTAAAGTTGTTGTATTTCCCGGTGAATGAAAACCAACATGATGTTGTTTCCACTGACGCTTCGCTACTTAATGCTAATAACTTTATCAGAGTATTATTAAACCATAATTTATAAAATCTCAGCCTATATGTAGCGACCTTAATCATCGTCCTTTAGAATCAGGTGATTTTTATGTTGTCAGGCTGGTCAATCGATAAAGATAACAAAACCATGTGTATATTGTTGGATTGGATAAGGGTATGATATTATATCAGCACCGCTACGTAATTCCTTTGTTTCCAACTTGAATTACGGAATTGATGACACTATTTAAAAGCTACCAATTGTTTTTAATCCTCATTAAGCCTTAATACCTACAATTCACAGGATTTCTGACCAACTTTCCTACAGGAGTAGTTTAGGATTTCCTATGGTTGGTCTGCCTTGCACTTAATTGTGACCAGTATAATATATGCAATGCTAATTTAAAGTTATTCACTCTGGTTATTCAAAATCTTTTTGAATCCACTCTAGGTCAAGCGAATAAATGGATTAAAAATATGGAGAAGGACAATAAATTACAAGTTGTAAAATTGAGTGATACGCATTACTTACGAACGCTGGAGAATTCCATCCAATTCGGTATGCCTGTATTAATGGAGAATGTTGGAGAAGAATTAGATCCAATCTTGGAGCCTATACTTCAACGAGTACTGTTTAAATTACAAGGAACTTGGTGTATACGTCTAGGCGATAATGTGCTTGAATACAATCCAGGCTTTCGTTTCTATATCACTACACGATTGCGTAATCCACACTACCTGCCTGAAATCTCTGTTAAAGTTTGTCTGATCAACTTCATGATTACACCGCTTGGTTTACAAGACCAACTGTTGGGCATAGTGACAGCTGAAGAGAAACCTAAACTGGAAGCTACTAAGAACCAGTTGATTATTGAATCAGCTGATAATAAGCGTCAGTTGAAAGAATTAGAGGATAAAATTCTAGAAGTGCTGAGTACATCACAAGGCAATATATTGGAGAATGAAACAGCCATCAATGTATTGAGTTCGTCAAAGAAACTAAGCGAAGAGATTACCGAGAAACAAGCTGTAGCCGAGGTTACTCAACTGGAAATTGATGCAGCACGTAATGGATATCGTCCAGTTGCTGAGCATGGTTCTCTCCTATTTTTCTGCATAACAGATTTATCAAATATTGATCCTATGTATCAGTACTCACTGACATGGTTTATTAACTTGTTTTTATCAGTAAGTAATTAACTTATTTTTCTGTATTTTCTTTCAAATCTACCTATTCTACTCACATTCAAGGCAAGGGACTTTGTCATGGGATGTTTATCAGGGATTTGATATGCACATATAGGAGAATTATGCATTGATCTTTTCGTGTTGTGCACCACTTTCGCCCCTACGTATTGTGTTTCTCTGTCTTCTTTTCGTGTCTCTCATGTACTGCCTCAATTTGCTGGTTAGTTTATCTGCTCTATTTGACTTGAAATGCATCTCTCTACAGTTTGATATTTTTTGGCGATTAACGTCCCCTTACGTATTACTGAAAAATCGTGTCAGCAGCACACGCTCCATTGCTGACTGAAGTTTGTTGGTGATATTTGAAATCCCAGCCAATATATATTTCACACTGAAACACTGCGGTGTGAAGTGGTAAAATGTGATAATCTAACAGGTGCTCGATTTTGTGTGCTGTGTCTGTAAGACTGGGGAAACTCATGTTAAATTGGAGACCTCAGTTCACATCACCCACAAATTATTTGCTTTTAGTATGCTAAATTGCATGACCAACTCTGATTTTAGCTTAAATGTTGCCTAAAAATGTGGTCACTGGTTATTTTTGTACTCATAAAGTTGGTGTGGGTGATTGTTTTTTTGAAGATAATCATTTTATGGTAATAACCACTTCAGCGGGTAACCATACTGGGGTAATAATATCATTCAGCGAAGAAGACGGTTATTCCTTTCCATTTTGAGTGGGACATAGAACTTCAAGCTAGAGTTTTGTGGTTTCGCCCAACCTTCACTCTTTACAAGGCTTACTATTGGCTAAGCTAGATTAAAGAGAACGTCAACCGGGATCGACTTTATAGATGGCATGTTTCTAAACCGATACAACTGTCTCCAATTCACTTATAATCAAACGTCGTGCACACGTTGAAGGTACCACTCTTATTCAGTGCAGAACTGTGTCTTACTCAATGATACTTTTTATTAATGTAGTCCATATCCTGATCCCCACTTGTCCTACTGAGCAAATTCGTCAACCAGCCAGCCTAACCATTTATCTGTACCTCTCGGTTTCTACTGCATACTTGTGAGTTATGAATTTCTTGACACCTTAGTTAAATTCTCCAACACGGACCAGTGATTATCAGTTTTTTATTAATGATTGCAAGAATTATGAACTTTGTAATGTCAGAATACAAACCGTTGACTAACCTTCGTTCATATGAAATATATTTGAAAACAGTATTCACGCAAGACTGTTGTTACTCACAGAATCACTGGATTCGTGAAAGGTCTTCATGATCCAATCAATCACTTCTTTAACTAAGCCGTTTGGTACAAATGCAATCTATTGTGATTTGGAAACACTGTTGAATTGTCTTAACGACTCGAATCCAACAGAGTAGCTGCTTAAAAGACAGAAACATTCCATAGGAAATCATTATCGACAAAGGCGCATGCAGAAACATTTATTTCCTGATACAAACTTAAAACAAGCAACAAAGTTTAAGAAGGCAGGATTTAATAAATTCACCAATTTCGACAGAACTGTTCACCTGGATACTCCACATACAGAAACATTGGGAGGTATGAGACTCATAAGTAAATAAACTACATTGAATCAATCATGCAAAATGACAGGTGTGAATGTTTTTCAGCCCATGTTCAAATATGTGAAGAGAAGAAAGTATGGGAGTTTAAAATCAAAATCAAATGCATTGCGGTTCAATTACATCACTTGAAACGAGTTAAGATAATGGTAATTATATAAGAGAGTTTTAAATGAATCAAGAATAATAATAATAATAATACGGAGTACAATGAAGTGTTAATAATATTAATAGTGATAATAATAACAGGTAATAAGTAAAACGTATTACCATGGTAGGTTCAGAGTGACCGCCATTTCCTTCTCTGCACAGAGGCCTGGTTTATAAACTCGAACCGCACAAGCCTCTGCAACTGCTAGAATCTTCCTGTTTGTTTGTCTATTAATAACAGTGAATGAATTGACAGCGTCGATATCATGTCCGTAGTCCACAAGGTGCTTTTTTATTGGACTTTTAGGGACTTTAACTTCAGCTGTTTTCAGTCACTTTGGCAAATGCTCCATCACGCGAGTAGACAATCGCCTTTCTGTACGACCTACGTATTTGCTTCCACAAACGTAGTTTGAAGTGTCCGGGATTGGCGACTGATCTTTCCCAAATTTTTGAAGCACTCACTTAGTTCTGTTAAGGAACACTAGTTTTGTAGCATAATAAGTTCTCTTGATAGCTTTATCAAGTCTTCGTTTGACTACTTCTTTTACATCATCTCCTTTGAATGACAAAGTGATATAGACAGATTATTTCGGAAGTGTTTGGATAGTTTTGCAGGGGCTCATTTTGTTAGAGTATTTATTGATGAAGTTCTCAAGATATCCATTCTTAGATAAAATATCCTTCAGAGTCTTTATTCCATATTCATTTGTACTGTCTGAATAAAATTTTTCTTGCTTTATTGAACAGTGTTATGACTAATTTCTTTTTATGCTAGATTGGAACAAAACTGTCCCGTTCATGAAGACTTTCTAAATATGGTTCATGCGATTGTGCCATCAGTCTCTTTCACTAGAGAAACATCTATCAATTTAGTTGAATCATTTTACTCGTGCTCTATTGTTAAGTTGAGATTCAGATGGCATGAATTGAATTTTTATTAATAAGTCTTCAACTTTTGACTTCATTCCTTTGTTTCCAAGTGGAACATACGGCTTCAAGCTTTTAGTGTGTCAGTAGCGATGGTTCTGTGTTTTTTATGTTATGGAGTTACTGACCTCATCCTCGACATTTTCTCTTATCTGGGATTACGACCACCTAGTTAACTAGGTTTTTATTTAGAATTAGTTAGCTGGGAAGGAAAATTGGTTTTCGTCAATGGCTAAAGCACTGACGTCACTTTTGAATTCAATCAATATTTATTCAAACTTTGATACAAAATATTTGTACAGTGACACTTGCATAAAACCTGCATTCTCTTGTTACCCAATCAGTTTGCATTTGTTCACTTGAAATAAACAAAACGGAGTAAGTGGAGTTCCCTTGAGCTTCAGTTATGATCATAAGTGCCAAACTTATTCAATGGCAGACTAAATAATAAAACTCAAGTGCCTGACAACTTGATCAGTCTTAGTGCTATGACAACTAATGAAGCCTGACAACAAGTACAAATAGTTCACCAAGTATTTGCCAACATATTCCACCTTTAATATCAATAAAACATGCTGTCACCTACTGAAAAGGAAAGCTAAATTATGCAAAGGCCAACTGCTTCACTGAATATCCGCCGAAAGAAAAAAATGCGGAGTTACATGGCCTCGAAATGCTTCTAGCAGGATGAAACCAAGTGGAAATAAGGGTAAACGTTGTCACCTCCAACAAACTGTGTCCAGACGAAGCATGATTAAACTAGATGATGTCAAGCAGTCACTGAGTCGTGTGGGAAAGACAGAGTAGATTGCGTCTTCGTGCTTTATTTAAATTTCATTATGTTTCTTTCCTCTACTTTAATGAGTGTAACTGTGTGAAGTAAGCTGGATCGATTAACTTTGGTAGAAAGTTCTGCGTTTATATACATATATATATATGAACAAGACATATAAGCGAACAATATTGTTTTCAATTAGATCTTCTTCAGGCTTTACTCTAATTTACATAAATTTATATATAAAATTTTAACCAATGACGGTGATTTTGGGAATCAAATAATAATCTTAATAGTCTTAATAATAATAATTAAAATAATAATATTTTTTTTTTGATTACAGCTTGATGCCACACCGTATTTTCAGTACAGGTATGGCATTTTCAGCATGGATATCGGTAGCCCAAATTTCACAGGCCGACCATAGATATCGGGTGTGAGTCGGCAGGGGATCGAATCCCGGACCATGTGCATGGTCGGCGAGAGTCCTAACCACTGTGTGGTAAATGTTTTGAACGTAGTTAATAACGATGATTATAATGATAACAAAATATTGATAATAAGGTTTATGCAGGTGATAAGAATAACAAAGATAGTATATGTATATAAGTGTATAAATAAATTGGGTCAAATCTTAAAAGGTGAAGTGGAACGATAATCAGAGTTTAAATAAATATCATAAAAGTACGAAGGAGATGGAAAATAAGAAAGGGTGGGAGGGTTTTGAATACAGTTCACCTAGGCCAAGGGAGAGACAAAGGTAGAACAAACTTCTTTTGTATGCAAAGACTAGGATTGTTCTCTCGAATTCCCATAGCTTCGGCTAGGTGTAAAAGACGGTTTCTGATTCCATTCGAAAGACTCGATGGAATACGATAGATAACTTTGAAAGCACTATTTTTGTCCACTTGGTGACCGCTATCAATCAAATGAGCCAAAATAGAACTTCGTATGGATTTTATTTGACCTTTTCCGAACCATGAAGGAAGATGCTCATTAATGCGTTTGTTCAGCTGTCTAGTTGTTCGCCCTATATAGCTTTCTCCAAATGCATAAACCTTATTATCAATATTTTGTTATCATTATAATCATCGTTATTAACTACGTTCAAAACATTTACCACATTATTATTATTATTAAGACTATTAAGATTATTATTTGATTCCCAAAATCACCGTCATTGGTTAAAATTTTATATATAAATTTATGTAAATTAGAGTAAAGCCTGAAGAAGATCTAATTGAAAACAATATTGTTCGCTTATATGTCTTGTTCTAATATTATAAATGGGAATATTTAAAGATATATATATGAGCCATTTCAATCCGATTCGCAGTCGGGGTCTTCAGAAAATCAATGACAACGTTTTTGATGGAATAAGTGGGACTCATCGTTGTATTTTCATATCTCTTATTATTTCAATTATTTCATCTCTAGCTATATCCTCGGTTTTCTGCTCACTTTTCCCATTTGCCTTATTGTCAAGTAGAAAAAACTGACCTGATCCCCTTGCCTATCATTACAGTTACCTGAATGTCAAGCATGATAAACTGAAGAGTCTTAAAATAAAAGTCATATTTTGACAAATGAAAATTTTATTTGCATCTTTTTGACTGCATACAATAATTTTTACATGGCACATTCTTTATTGTTAATCTAGTCTATTTCGAACAGTGAAAAATCGCCAGTTCTGGAAGAACGTATTGAACTGCTGAACAATCATTTTACCACAAGTGTTTATCGAAATATTTGTCGGTCGCTATTTGAAAATCACAAATTACTCTTTTCGTTAATTATGTGTTATTCCCTGTTAAAAAATAAGTAAGTTAATTCAGAAATTCAATGAGTACAATTTTTTGTTGTTGTAAGAACCTTCTGACGTCTCATTTGATTACATTGCTACTATTAGTGGTAGTTGTGGGTTGAATGCAGGTGAGAACATAACACTGTGAAGGTATTTTTCATTCGACCACCAATTCTGAAACAAGATAAATCAACAAACCACTTCATTTCACAGGATCTAAGAATAATCACACTTTCATATAGACGTCAGACGTGTGTTTTTTGTACATCCGAATACAGATAATTTGAAAATTATTCAGAACTAGGGTTTTTATTCGGTGAAATAACTTTTCGGTCAGTTGTATCAAGTTGAATACGAGCTTTTACATAGTAGTAGCATAAAGCTGTGCTTCCTGATGACAGAACATTCTAGAAATAAATGGAAATAAGAGCACTTATCGCGTCGAACTGAAACGACAAAACAACAAAACACGGAAAGGGCGTGCAGATTTCATTATCTTGGGACATTATTTGGCAGATTCAAACTCCTGACGTCTTAAACTGAACTTAATAAGAACAAAATGGTATCAGCTAGTCTAGAATTTATACAACTCAAGCGGTGGATGCATCTGTACTAGCATTTAAGACTCTTATTAACAGTAGCCTTAGCTTGATAATGAAGAGCAGATAAAGAGCCGGAAAACACCAGGCCAACCAGGAACCCAACAAATATGCAGAAGAAATTGGCGATGGACTGGACATACACTGAGGAGAATGTCGAGTGACCTCACATGTCAGGCTGGCCCTCGAGTGTAAGTCGAATGAAAGGTGATGAGTTGAGTGTCCAGGGGGTCATTCATATTGAGGAGATCGTGTGAGGATTAGCCGAAACCTCACAGGCAGTCGGGTAGCCAACTGCATAAAAAGGGATAAAACGGAGGTGTTGTGCTGAAGCTCAAAGTTTCACGCAGTCCCTGAGAGAATAATAGGAACAGTTTAGGACTTGGCAGCCAGAAGAGTTATCTTCAAGCAACCAATTTTTTAATAATCAAATTATATTACCGGTAATACCTATTATTATTGCTATTGTTGTTAAACAGAAAGATTTTGTCTAAATAAATGGTGACCATTAAATGTGTTCATTTGTTCATACTGTTATTATCAGAGAAAAAGTGGATGAAACGGTTTGGCGTTTCCTGTTAACTGGTGGCGTTGCACTTGACAATCCACATCCAAATCCATGCCCTGATTGGTTATCCGACAAATGTTGGTCAGAAATTGTTCGTGCTACAGAGCTACCTGGCTTAGACGGATTTATGGATAGTAAGTAGTATTAATTATTTGTCAATATAAAGGGATGCAATAGGGAAATAGTTAGTGGTAAAATAAACTAGCATGTATATTTAGATAGCTTCTACAGAAATTATACAATTATACCTAATTTGCTACAATTTGAGTTGGTTAATTCATATCTCTCGCTAAACCTTCCACAATGTTTTATATGATGTCTTCATATGTAGAGGTGTTTCCCTATTCACGAAGAAATACTTGCAGTAAATTGAACTGGTGAACATCCTCAAGTCCTAATATAATTAATAATAACGTTACTGAGATTTATCGTTACTGATAGTTGGTTGGTTAGGAGTGACGCAGTTTACAATAGGTAACCCTAAGGCCTTCAAGTAGGTAAGCCTAATGTGCTAAATGCGAGGATACGCTGACAGACTGCACCACATGAAGAGGCAGCTGTTCGATTAGTCCTCATTCTGATAGATTATTCAAGTGGTTTAGATTTCTTGCGAAAATCTCTGGGATTATTTACTTCCTTTAACTCTCAGACTTTTATGTATATTCTAATGTTCACTTACTGATGAAATAGCATTAAAGTTTGTTTAGAAAAAAGGAGATTTTTTCAAGTTACCATACTGTGTAACTCCGCACAAAAATCGCAAACAGTAAAAAATGACGCAACGTAAGACACACTGGCGAAATTAACAGAGTGGTGTGGTGATGATACGTTAAGGTGTTTAGAACATGAATAGTGGATGTGCCTGATGATCAAGAAAGATCTGGATGGCTGTGGAAGAGTGTAGAAGTTGACTTCTCCTTGTGTGACCATACAAACAAAAGAATAACTGTTTGAGGCCAGTCCACACTGCCTTTTTGAAGTGCTATCTCCAGTATCATATGTTTGGAGATCTCACTACCAGCTACGATCGCGGCAAGGGAAGTCAGGATGCGTATTTTTCGTAATCGACCTTTTCTAACCAATCCCTTACCAGGACAGGGACGCAACGTAGCTATTCTGCTAGTAATTTAAGGTAAACAGCTTACTGCCATTACGTCTCTACTCATCATCACTGAGACTTTGCTCTCAGATCGACTATGTAATGTTAGCGATCTATGCTATCTACGTTATCTTTGTGTGTTGTATGGGGTGTAGCTATTTGAACTGTTGCACTGCTGTGCAAAATTCTACACTGGGAACTCAACCAGCCAGGTATATAGTGAATACTATTTGTTTAAGCTAATTTGCATGTCCCATTGAATAATTAAATGGAACCAAAACGCTCGTTCTCTATTGATATGTCGGCTGCTAGTACAAATGCTACGAAGATTGAAGATTAACATTATGCAAGTGAGAACACTCACTCACTGATGATGAGACATCCAGCTGGAGAGGTCCAGAAAGATCGAGATGCGCATCCTGGAGTCCACTGCTAGTTGTCACCAACCAAATAAGATCATGGAGTTAATACATACCCGTCATCATAAATGATTTTCAACTAACATTAAACATCTCCAATCCTTTATTTTTAGCAGGGGACACTACTTAATATTAATAATGAGTAGTCAGTCGGAAGACGTTCAGTATTTTGAAGGAAAATCCTAAAAATGAACACAAGTGTATCATTTCACTTAATTTTGTTTTAATTTTACCCAAGGCCTTGGTAACTGTTCTCTTACGTCCCACAGTCCACAGATAGATACTTGATGCATTTATTCCCCTTTACTGAAACCCAACCTCTGAGCTGGATGGTTTAGTTGAGAAGCTTTCATTGCCTTACTAGGCAAAATCTTCAGAGCATACTTCAATTTGAAGTGAACTTTCAAATTTCTCCACGAATTTACCAGTCATCTCTGCTGGTAACCTTGAACGTGACTGGTTGTTTTCGTGATGGTACTGATTGTTTCTTTGACCTGAAGTTTAACTTTTCTTTCATGTAATTTCCTTCTCATGGCTTGGTAAATCTTGTCCATGTCTATGTTTCTATTGATTGCCAATTCACTTCGATACCAGGCTTTTAGGGATCTTCTGACGATTTTGGCGTTTCCTCTGTCTAGTGGGTGAATGTTATCCCAATCGAATTGGTGTCCATGGTTGTTTCTATGCGATTATATGAGGGCTGTTTATTTAGTTGGGAGTTTTATCTAAGTCGTTTCTTTTGATTATCAGAAATGTGTCATCTACCTAAGGTATCGAAACTTGGGGTTTGATTTTCGGTGAGACTATGTTTTCAAGTCTTTGAATCACAGTTTCTGCAATAAGACCTGATATGACCGATCACATAGGTGTCCCTTTAATTTCCTGATATATTTGGTCGTTGAACTGAAGATACATTTTTAGACATAGGTTTATGCATTCCATCCAACTTGATTGTTGCATTTGTTGTTGCTGACTAATTGCTCCATGGCTGCCGAATCGAAGTATATAGTATTCTGACACCGAAGGATACCATTATTTCTTGGTATTCTGTTTGAATGCCTTTAATCCTCTCTGGAAATTCGATTGCAGATTTGATGGTAAGATCGCAGGATTCCGTCATATGTTACAATTCTCCGTATAAATCTTTGAATAAATTGTATGTTGATGTTCTTTGAAGCGATAAAATTGACCGCAATGGGATGTTTGTGCAATTAGAAGTCACGTGTGTGGATGGATGTCCCACCAACGACAATAGTTGGGGTCGCGCTAAAATCACGAATTGGTAGAAGTTAGAATTCATGAGCCATTGAATCGGGTCCCAGTGGCTGAATGGTATACAAGCTTGCCTTGTAACCGGAAGGTCCTGGGTTCGAATCCTAGTGGGTGCGTACTGCCGATGATTCCCAAAACTAGGATGAAACAGCAGCTGTCCAGTACTCCCTGGTTTTCAATGGTTCTCTAACTGATATCAGTCCGTGATCAACTCGTAAAACATAACTAATCCTTACAAACCAAACTATAGAAAAAAAAGATGTTTGTTTTGTAAATTTTGAGTCTTTCTTAGAACTGGTCCATTGGAGATCAGTCGCCACTGATCTCCGTTGGTGATCTGATCTTTTTTGGTAAGCTTGTTTAGGGTTCTTTGGATGGGACCTGTCGTGAGTTGTCGGTACCCATTTTCATCTTTTAGCAGCTCTTCAGCTTTCTTGGTGTATTTTTCACTGTCCACGAGTACTGGGGTTCTTACTTTGTCAGCTGGTACTATGACCATGTCTTTCCTATTTTTCAGTTTTCTGAGAGCTTTCATTTCCTGTCACTTGAGTTGTGTGTGTTGTTTTTTCTCTTAAACCATGGGTACGATTATCTGGCGTGTCTCTTTATACATATTTACTTATATTCAGACTAATATGCAGCGATCATTGATCAGCCTTGATAAGATCAGTCTTAGCTTCAATGTGATTTAGTGCTGTCTGAGTTATTACCTTACACTGGTATGCATTCTAGCCGCCTTACTTAGACCAAGACTTATAACCTTATAACCTGACTACTCAATCTTGAAGTTCTACTCTAAGAAAGAACTGAAGTGTTAGCCCCAGTTCTATTTACTCAACAGTATCGCTGAGTTAAATTTGTGCATTATTATTGTTCCATTGGGTTCCGAGTGGAACACATGGCTTCAACAACACATCTCCAAATGGTTCTGTTTTTTACTGCCCTCTTTAACAGCGCCCACGATCGCCCGTAATCTCTCATCTCCTCTTCGCACGGTGTCCTCCATATCACTCTCGGACAAACAACCCACTCGTCATTTCCGGTTGGGGCTCCACATGAGGGCCTAGAACGTGATGTCATTCGTCGGTCTCCTCAGTGTGTACTCAATCCATATCCATTTTTCTTACATATTCTTTGAGAGATCGGTTCTTGGTTAGTTTACTTTCATAGCTTCTTGTTGCTAATTCTTTCCGCCAGTCATTTGGTCTTCGATATGGAGCCAGCTAGCGAAAGCGGCTATTGATAAAAATCTGCAGGAGTCTGTTGGAAATGCTTTTCGTGACGGGCAAGCCAAGGTTCTAACCCATATAGCAGCACTAACTGACTGACTTCCGATTTGTGTTGAAAATCCTAGTTTTTTCATTATTCTGAGTGCAAAAGACTTCAAAGCTAATTTCAGATTGATGAAGATATATCTCGCCTTTCCGATTCTGACTGGCTTTGACATCTTCTTCCGACTGCCTGTGGTTGAAAGCGTGCTTCCTAGACAAATGAAGGAAGTAACCTCTGTCATATCCCTCCTGTTGATAGTGATTGGTGCTAGTTGTTGTTGCTATTGGCTGGTAGCTATGTTCATCACCTCCTTCTTCTCTATGTTCACCTGGAGTCTTGTCTTCGCTTCCAGCTTCATCCGCCATTTTGTTGGTTGTCGTCTGTAAGTAAGTCTTCGAGTTTATTTGACATTAGACATAAATCATCCACTCACGAAATCCATATCTTCTAGAGTCTTCTTATCGGTCGCGTGTATCGCTGTCTTATCGCTCCCTGTGCACAGTCTGGCTCATAATTAACTCCACCACAACTAGGGACGTCATCGTGAGTGATAATAGACAGCCTTGTCTTACTCTTGTCTCTACTTTACATGCTTTGCCGAGTTGTCCATTGTGGATCACCTGACACTTACCATTGTCATATAGCTGTTGTATAACTGTTGAAAAAAACCTGAGGCAAGTCACAGTGTTAAAGTATTCTCTAAGTTACTTCGCGATCCACACTATTGAAGGCTTTTCCAAATTTGGTGAAATTGAGGTAGAGCTTTGACTGCCATCCTTTGCTTTGTTCGACGATGAGTTAAAGAGATACTGTAACTGCATCTCGCATCCACCCTCAGCATTTACGTTTCACACTTTCTCTACTAGTTTTATATGTAATAAAGTAGCTTCACTGACATATTGTTTTAAGATTACGTTCTAGATGTCAATTACAGAAATGGTAGTTTATATCTTATAGTGTGGAGGAAATTTGTTTAGTGTTTCCTCTTAGCTTTACTGTTTTACTGAGAACCCTTTAACACTAAATTTTTACAGCTCAACTGTAAAGCTAAATAGTTTGTGATCAACTGAACGAAATGATGTATAAGGAGAAAATATAACCCAAAAATAGTTGCAAATATTAGACAATTAAATAGTGTACCATAAAATAACAACAGAACTAAAGTTTTTAAAATCACCTTATTGTTTGCATGTGTACTTTTGTTCAACCTCCTAAGTATTTGGATGAACTCCGTGTAGCTAGACAGATTGACCTAGACAAAATCTCTTGCTTTAGTCTTAGCGTGGACTGAGTCTGTAGAATTTTTAGTGGATGAAATATCTGTTTTCCCCGGGTAAGTGTGACTTCGTTTATTCCATAAGATTTTACCAACATTAACTCAGAATATGATAGATATTTCACACATGCAGAAGTCCAAAAACTCCTTTCATGGTGATGAAAGTGTTGTCTGGAAGGATGGCGAAATGTTTTAAATAACCATCGAGCCATTAAAACACAATCATAACCGGAAACCCTTACTGGAATATATATATATATATATATATGACATCTCAGACGGTAATTCCTTACGAGTACTTCTCTTCGAATGAATTGATTATTTGAGAATTTTCCAAAGGTGAACGGATGTTTTGGCAAGTTTTCAAAGTCAGTCAACGAATAGAATCTCCGTAGAACTCTTCCTGTTATTAAATCAACTTGAACAAAGTAAGAACAACAAATGTACCAGGGTAATATGACCTCATCTTTCATTATTTCAAGGATTCTTCTTGACTGCCCACAACCTGATCAATACAACTGAAATATAAGTTACATTAAAGATATAAAAATATACTTTTTTCACGATGACAATAAGTTGAATTAAGAGTTAGAAGGAATGACTATGTATATAAGATAGTTAGGTCAATACTCTTGAGCACAGTGTAACAGCCAAATTTATTTGGTTATGGTCTGAACACTCAAAAAACACATCTTTACGTTCTACTATGTAGTCTAGAAAACTTCGTTGAGACATATACTATCATGAAATGTTGCAAACTCAGGGAAAAGACGGTTATTCCCCAATATTTTAGTGGTTCTATTCAACAATAATAGTATCGAAACTCAACAACCCCGTCAGGCAACTATACTATACAGGCAAGGTATGCCTGTAACCAAAGTTCAACTGTTAAAGGTACTTTAGTATTGTGGAGGAGAATATTCCCAACGAAGTGAAATCAAAAGCTATGTCCACAAGAGCCACACTACAAAGCTTCCCATAGAAAGTCACGGGTGAGAATGACCTTCATTTACTCAAACAAACTCACTGTGGTAAACAACACACTGTAAGTGTATAACAAAGACAAAGGCAGGTCAAAAATCAATATGTGATTTGAGAATGTCAAATTAATGGTACACAGTCCAGGGGAAATACACATAACAATTACAAAATTAGTTTAAATGTCTAAATAAGTATCTATATAAAAAATACATCGTTCAGGAAGGATTTTCCAAAGAATTTCTCCGTTACGAACATGGTTCAAAATTTTCGGGCAGAAATAAAGTCTAACTAGAAAGAATTTAACAATATGATAGTTTACGTCATTACAGAAAGTATGCTTTTATAAAATAGAAGAAAAAGAGGGATAGGGTGAGTAATGTTCAGATGAAACAATAGAATTTTCTAAATGGGACGGAAGATACAGGAGAATACATAACGTGATAAAATCGTATACTTTGTTATGTAATTTCAATCATCAGAGTATTGCAAGATTCATCACTGTCTTTTTCCGCATGCATAGCTTTTGTTTTAATCGTAGGCGTTATTGTGATCTGGCCTTCAATTAAACTTCTAGTAAGTGTGTAGAATATCCATCCTCTGACAAAAGTGTTTTTGCCATTACATATGATTTAGGCGTGTAACAAGTAAGATGCCTGTTTACTTTTTCCTCTGTATTTTCAAAGGTGTGCAAAACACTCCAATACAATGGAAAGCAATGTATGATGATTTGGAACCACACAGATTCTCAATTCCGGGTAAATTTTCAAAATTGGATGGTCTTGAAAAGTTGGTTGTATTAAGATGTATACGACCGGATAAAGTAGTTCCCGGTATTCAAGTACGTTTTTCAAATTGTCATGTTTCCATTTCCTACTGTCAGGTTATATGTATGGATATATATATATATATATACATATATAATAAATCTTCTCTCTCAAAACTGCTTACAGTAATCGTCGAAAACCGCCTTGGTGAGTAATACTGAGGTTAGGCGTAGAGTGTCAGACAAAGAAGGTAAGTCAATCAATCTGGTTGTGAAAGTGAATCGATTGATACGTCTAGGACACGTGCTGCGCATGCCAAGCCATCGCCCTCCTCGACGGGCAATGTCAACTGACAAAGGATTAGGTTGGGAAAGAGTTACAGATGATCAAACTCAAACCTGACATCAATGCATGAAGTCACTGACAAGTAGTTTTAGCCAGCCATGCAGGGAGGTACAGGCTGCTGGACTGGGGTCCTCGGAATGCTAAGTACCAATGGTATGAAACTATTGGTGATATGGTTCAGAATCGATGTCACTGGGACAAATGCATTTGTTCTCTGGAATTTTCTATATCCAATCGACCGTCGCATTTTTTTCAAAATGACTAGTCTTTCTCCAACACATTTCTGTTTATCATAGTCCTTTCAAATTCTTCTCTGCTCTCTCTTTAGTCTACCTTTGTTTGCTGCATGGGATGTAACAATTTGAACTGCTATAATTCTGTGCTACCTTGATATTGTGTTCGGGTGTGCCTAACGCAGTGACCCAACAAGATCCACTGGCTGGGACTTATATTCCTGCAGGTCCTGCCATGCTGGGAAGATTGTCTGGGCAGCAGTTAGACTAAAGACAGTTGCTATGGGGTAATTGGACTCCAGAATCTAAACGAATAGTATCGAATGGCGTAAAGAACCTTTATTCCTCAACGGTAACCATGGGAACGTAGCTCCTGACGCTGCTCTGCTGCCTCGTGGATGACACTCTAAGTCAAAGGCTCGGCGGAGGGGGATTGGTCTCTTACGAAAACCACTTGCTTCAGACCGGGCGCCGGAGCAGTATCCTAACCCTCATACTAATAATAAAATGAAACAACAAACTACGAGTTAATCTGACTACACGCTCATTCTAACGATCTAGAACAATAATGATTTTGTGTTTTAAATTTAAAAAAATAAGAAGTTCCATGTTTAAAGTCAGCCAATCAGCAGGCACACTGAACCAATTGAACGCCGTCTAGCATTATTCAGGTTGAAACTGATGAAGAACAGGTTCACAGCAAAATCGATTTAAAAAATACTCTAAATCACATAGAATGAAACTGAAAAAAAATCAAGAATTATTAGCTCAGTGTTCACTATCTGTGGAAGACATTGCCAAATGTTTACAACTTTATTTAGCATCTTTATCTTTTACATTTAATGACAAACTATACTGTCAGACAAATAGAATTGCAGGGGGATCATAAGCATTTTCACTTGCAGCTAATCTTTATAGGAAAGCTCTAGAAAGAAAGCACTGACTGGTTTTATTTGTCGAACTAAAGTATGGTACAAATATCATTATCACTATTTATTATCACTAGCATCATTATTAAGAAAGTTGAAAAAGAAAACTTTCTTGGATCGGATGATGGAACTCTACACTTTCTTAATTGTCTTGCCGAAAGACATACTGATGGAGAACTAAAATTCAAGTATATGAAGAATAGACACATCTAAAGAAATATTTGAATTCCCGATCTGATCACTCAATAAAAGTGAAAGTCTCAATGTCTTTAAATCTCATGAATAGGTGTAGAAATATTATAACCGTTTTGGTGTGGTTGTGTTCTCTGAGCTGGATGGTTTGGTTGCGAAGCTTTCATTGCTCTACTGAGCAACATCTTCAGCGCATACTTCGATGTGAAAGCTTCGCAACCAAACCATCCAGCTCAGAGAACACAACCACACCAAAATCATCCACCTGAGCTACAAATCTTCTCTATTATATCTATATTATAACCGTTAACGATAGTATGGAGAATGAGATCTCCGATGTAAGTGACATTTTAGTTGAAAATGATTATCTGAAAACGTTTCTTAACCACATTTCCAATGCAAATGACTGGAAAGTCTTGGGTGTCGATGTTAGCTATTCCACATTGGAAAAACACAACTGAATAACTTCAAAGGATACTTGCTTCATATAGCGCTAAAGTCTATTTGAAGCTTCCTGATGCCTTAGAGACAGCTTTGGTGAGTATCAAAGATATATTTCCTAAAATGACAGAACGAACTGTGTCTATAGAATGAAATGGTCGGAAGGTGAGGCAGTAGACAAGTGACAGTCTCAGTGAATGACCACATGCTATGCACGAAACGTTTGCCGAGAGTTGAAGTAGGATTAAATAGTCTAGAAGAAAGATCAGTACTAGCATAAAGAAAGACTAGCCGCTGAAGTCTTGTATGTTTTAACCACAAAGAATGTGATAAGTAGAAGGGACGTGTTAGACTAATCACTTATTTGGGAAACTCTAATGAAACAAAACCGATAGGGGAATTTCACTACTATTTTTTGACCTCTAAACGAGTATCATGATTTCTACTTATGAATTTATGTGTTCACTGTGCAACACACGACATACACAGACAAATATACGTGTGACAATTTGATATTATTCATTATATATATATATATATGCATATATAATGCAGCTGTGGCTACAATTCTCCCGTAGACATACTTTTCAATAAGCTGGTTAGGAAATTCGACAATACTACTGGCAGTAAGCTTCACGTCATACGAAAACTGATGATTGTGCCTTATTCACTTTACCAAGCGTTGGCTAGAATTCATTCCATCGTTTTATTATTGTCATTCCTTAGCAAAGCAGACCAAATCTCTTTCTATAGTTTGAGCTTAAAACCATTATCTAAAGCTAATCGTGAGAGCTGGATGGACATGAATCTCTCAGAGCATATTAATAGCCGAAATGAGTCAGGTGAAACTTCTTCAACTAACTACTAGGGAATACTTAAATAAGACTAGAGATTTTGGTTTGTGATAAATATTTCATAAGAATAATAATGTTTGAATAGTGCGATAGATAAGAACACCTATCGGTGGATTATATGGATTCATTTGATCTCACCAGATTTTCAATCATCACTTGCATACACTCTGAATAATAAATTTAACTGAATCGCGATTTGGTTTTATAAGACAGAGAACAACTGACTGACTGACTGGTTTCAATATAGAATTTTTCACAAATGTGCAGCAGGTCGAGTTTCCATTCTTCCTACCTCCATGTAGCACACAAAGTAGGAGAAGAGAGTAAACAGATATTCAAAAGACAGACAGAGATAATAAACAGAAGTGTGAGGGGAAAAGAATAGTAGTAATCTGCAAGAACAATAGAATTTCAGTGGATATGACAAATCTCAAAGAGTGAATGCATCTATACCATCATCGAGAACGAAGATTTTGAGCCTTGTCACCAACTTTCTCCATCTTTCATTGGCTCTTAACATCCCGACGACTTCAACCAGTTAGTCAGGAAGTCAACAAATCTCTGTGGGGCTTGCTTAAGCCAACTTTTATGGATTTGATTGACTCTTGAAGCCATGTTTTTGTTTGACCACCACGTGCTAGCTCTTTTCCGAAATGATCGATCCATTGTCAGCTGACATTGCCCGTGGACGAAAGCGATCGATGGCTAGGGATGCATGCGAAACACATATCCTAACCATCTCAGTCGATGTAACTTCACAACCTCATCGATTGTTTTTCCCTCCTTAGCCAACACTCGGTGTTTAACCTCAATATTATTCAACACACACCACCGAACACTGGAGATAGAGCGCAGGCACCTATGATCAAAGACGGTTAGTCTTTTCATGTCTTCCACTTTCACTAGCCATGTCTCACATCCATAAAGGAGGAAGGAGCAAACTTCTGAGCAGCACACACGTCCTTTTGTCAATAGCGGGATAACACGTCTACGCCAGAGATGGAGTAAGTTAGAGAGTGCCAATAGAGACTTTTGTATCCTTGCTGAGATTTTGTCAGCGATTAGCCTGTTGGTGCTGATGACGGAGTGCAAAGTTTAGCAGAAGTTAGAATAGTGAATGATAACCAAAACAGAAATACCACATATATTATAGATAGAAGAGTGTTCTGGAATTTTAGTGGAGACAACAACATAGTCTCATGAAAAGTAATTCGACCGAAATAAAGGAGGTCAAGGCCACAAAGATATCAAGAATTAGTAAGGAAACTGATGCATTTACTTACCGAGTTATTACACACACATACACACAAAACTGAAGTAAAATAAAATAAAATGAAGTTTCAGCAAGTTCATATGAATGAGTCAGTGCTTATCAATGGCATTAATAAGGTAGCAACAGTCTCCTTTTGCGCACATGGTTCAAGTTTTATTCTTCAAATGGTCACAGCCTCAGCAATTCGAGGTAATCTTGAGGTGTTCTATCTGTTCAACACTTTAAAGGATTCTATTACATTGATGTGGTGTCCTGTATCAGGCAGGTACCGAGCTATGGCGCTATTTAACTCTGTTGAATCTCTAAGACTTAGACATTTGAGCACATGTTCAGCAATCCTGATAGATAACCGTCTCTCAGTTCTTCCAACGTATATGCTACCACATGTACATGTGAATTCATAAACACAACTGGAGTTAACCAGAGCCAGAGAATGGTCTACTTTGGATTGCGTAGTTGAAAGGGTAGTTTTGTACAGAATGACCAGTTTGGCATTCTTCTATGTTCTCTTCTGGTTATAATTCACTATTCTGAATTCTCGTAAACTTTTCACCTCGTCTCCATTGTCAACATGTTATTTTACTCTTAAATGAAACGAACTGGCTATTCAGTTAAATTTATTATTCAGGTTCTATGCAGCTGATGATTGAAAATCTGATGAGATAAAATGAATTTCATTCTTATTATTATTTTGATAAAATAGGACTTCATTGTACAAAATATGGGTCAACAATTCATTGAACCGCCAACATTTGATTTAGCTGGTTCATTTTCCGACTCCAATTGTTGTTCACCGTTAATTTTTATCCTATCACCGGGAGCTGATCCAATGAATGCCTTAATCAAATTCGGTATAGACTTAGGATATACCGGTGATCGTATACAAACAATATCACTTGGTCAAGGTCAAGGACCTGTAGCCGCAAATATGATTCAACGTGCTATTAAAGATGGGACATGGGTTGTGCTACAGAATTGTCATCTAGCTGTCAGCTGGATGAAATCATTAGAAAAGATATGCGAAGAAACAATTGTGCCGAAAAATGTGGATGTGGATTTCCGCCTATGGCTTACAAGTTATCCATCGCCAGACTTTCCTGTAACAATATTAGAAAATGGTATGTTATTGAAAATAATCTCATGATTCAGCAATAACTCCCCTTTTAATGAGCTTTTCTTTTCTTTTAGTAAGCAGGGCAAAACTGAGTATTTGTTAAGGTGAAACTGTCACATTTTAAGGTACGGTCTTTTCTAAATGACCGAAACTCAAGTATTTTTGGTCTGAACGCGCTAGATTAATCTATATGTATAGCTAGGCAAAGTTATGCGGGTAACACAAATCCGAAACTTATATTCCACCAATCTCAAACAAGGATTAGCGTGATAGAATCTCTTGTACTAATGAGCAATTAGAAATCAGAATAAAAATAGCCACTTAAGGCACATGAGAATTTTATCAGAAACTGTATTTGAGCACATTTACAAGAAAGAAGAATTAGAGAAGTATGTTTGTAAAACAACTGATAAAATTAAGCATGACACAATGAACAAAAAAAGCTCTGTTTAGGAGTACAATTCAAAGGTGACATATTAAACCGTAGGTTGACCAGATTACTTGAAAGAACTTTCAGTGCTGCAGAACTACAAATCAGGCTCTCAACCAGACCGTTACAGACACAGTGCACCAAAGATTAATTACCTAAGATAGTCATATCAATTGGTGTATGCAAATTCAACTGCTCGTTTTGAGCTAGTTATATAAGTCAAACCCAGAGGAATATATCTTTATGCACTGGTGAACATTGTCCTGTTTCGCTTGGAAAAAGTGTAACCAAATCAATAAACAGTGCCATTTTACCTCATCTAGTGGGTAGTGAACACCACATCAAAACAGATGAGTTATTTACGGTTGTATATAGAGTACCACACAATCTGCGTAAAGATACACGATTATCTCTTCTGGCAACAGCTGAAGCTAGAGAGAATAATGTGAAGAAACCTGACTAATGTGCGCAAAAGAAGCACATTCATCATCTCTGTTTACCCTGGTCTACTACAGGGTCATCAGAGAGCCAATCATCTCATATCTTCATATCATGTTGTGACTTTCTTATTCCTTTTCATCTAGTTTACTTTACTACATTACCTTTATTATGTGTCCACCTTTTGTAATTTACACGAAGCTTATTATGTCGCCAGTATTTTATTACAGTTTATAACTACACTTGATATCCGTCAACCCTTGAACTTACATTCAATGCTGTCCATTTGTTGGTATTTTTTATTTATTTTGTGGTAATCGTATTTCTCTTACACCACTGAAGTAACTCAGCTTTGATCACGGACTGATGTTACAAAGACATCTACTGGAAACCAGGGAGTACTGGGCAGCCGTCTCATCCTAGTTTGAAACACCCATAACCCCACTGGGTGGGGTGAACTGAGGACCCTCCGGATACAAGGCAAGCTCGTAGACCATCCATCCACTGGGACCTAACTCAATGGCCCATGAATTCTAAATTCTGCATATTCGTGATTTTAGCGTGACCACCAGCGAATGTTATCAGAGGCGAGTATTTCTCCTCATACCCGACCAGGTGGACAGCACTGATTAAGACTTCTCACTGGGACGCCAGGCAATTTTAATCTTTAGTCACTCACCAGATCAATTTTCAAGAGTAAGTTTGTAGGGAACTGATTTGTTTCAAATTCGATCACTCATTGACGCTAGTTGGAGAACCATTAATCCGCGATTAAAACTGAAGCATTAAAGACGGGAATCAGCGGAAACAAAGACAAATCACAAAGATTCAGTCATAACAAGATATAGAAATGTTAGAACAATAATGTGCTGGTCAAGAGAAAAGGGATGATAACTGCAACATTAGTTGAAATATTTAAATAATTATCAATTCTGTGAATAGACTGTTCATGGAAAGATTTACAGATCAGTTACTCTGTTATATTTTTACCGGTGTCGCTATAAGTTTGGCAAGGTGGAAAATTTCCACTAGTCACTTTTGTCGTTTTCTTCATTCAAGTTTCCTTTTGCAATGGGGTTGCTAACCTCACGCCCAACCTTCCCTCTCTACCAGCCTCACTACCGGTTAAGCGAGGTAAAGGAGTTCATCGGCGGGGGATCGAGCCCTGGACCACTCATGTGGTTGGTGAGCAGACACTGCAAAACCGTTTTACAAGACTGAAAAGAAGGCTGTACGAAGCCATAAACCAGAACATTTGATTGACTCTCACAAATCAACTAACCTCTTACAATAACGAGGACTAAGGTACATGGAATAAGAAGCATGTATGTCCGGCCCTTATACCATAACTTCTATCCACTTTTTCATTCAATCATTTTGTGATATCAAGGTAATTGTTATCAATGCTATCTTCACTTTAAAAACTCTCTGGTCTAATTTCACTTAACCTTTAAAACTACTTTTTAACAAAATACCAGTTATAAATTGATATATGTTCTTATGGAGAGGCTAACAAATGATTTACAATTGTTCACCTATACACATGTGCACACACTCACCATTGTATAATACATATACAAATATATTTTCATATTCAGTTATCTAGGACCTTGAACTTTTAGTCGAACGTAATCACTAAAATCCCGATAAAAAGTACACTCTATTTAAAGTGTTTAAATGAAAAAAGTGCACTAATTTTTGAAAGTCTGAGGTCAAATTTTGATCACAGTTCATACAGTTTTGTTTATTATACATGTTGATGCCTGTTTCATGACTAATATGATTGGACAAAGTTTTTAAAAACAAGAGATGTCCTTTTTCAATATATAAACCTTTGTTATGTTAATTTCGATTAATTTCCCTGAAGAAGTTCGGACCAGTTTGCCGAACGAAGCGTTGGAATTAATAATTTCATTTTCGCTGAGATTTCTCAAATATAATTTTTACAGATACCAGTTATTAGTCTGAAAGAGTTGTTCTTAAGATGTACTATGAATGTACACTTCACATTCAACCACCTTTATTACAGGTAAAGCGAGGGTATTGCCATGGATCCTCCATTGGGTCCAATTTTGGCAGATTTCTTTCTTGCTAAGCTTGAAAATGGTCGACTGAAACAGGTAACAAATGAAACGGATTCTTATTTTCCTTATGTTGATGATACGTTTATTATTTAATCTTCACGAGAAAGAAAGCTGACAAGAATGAAATGTTAATCAAATTTAATGATGTCCATCTATCGCTCATCTTCACTTGTGAAGAAGAACATGGTAGGTAACACTACTTTCATGTCCAATTAAGCAGAAGAGAGACCAGATGGTTCACTCAAGAGGGATGTCTATAGAAAACCTACATCTGTAGGACAATATACACATTTCCTCAGTTTTGTGCTAATCCGACACACAAAATCAATTCGGTCAGATGCCTCACGAATAGAGCAAGACGGATCTGTGTGGATGACTCCTTAGAAAATGAGTTAGGATGCATCCACAAAATAGGCTAGTCCTAATGGGTTATCTTATTAGATTTGCAAGAAGTCACATGAACACCAGGTTTAATAAAGAGAAACTGACAACAGTTAAAAAAGAAACAAGTGTTCCTAGAATTTCAATATAGTGGGGACGTGACTAGTGGCCTCTTACATCTAAGATTATCGGGAGCAATAAAACGGACTTATAATGTCGCCACCCTTTGTTTGTCATTTTCTAGCCGACCAGTTGTGATTGCTCCAGCTAAAGACAAGCTACCTAGCTGTGCCACTTCTCTGTGTATCTACAAATTCATTTGCTCCTGTGGAGAGAGCTATATAGGGCAAACAACTAGACACCTCAACAAACGCATTAATGAGCATCTTCCTACATGGTTCGGAAAAAGTCAAATAAAATCTATAAGAAGTTCATTTGATTGATATCGGTCACCAAGTGGACAAAAATAGTGCCTTCAAAGTTATCTATCGTATTCTACTGAACCTTTCGAAAGGAATTCTAACCAGCCTTTTGCACATAACCGAAGCCAATTGGAATTCGAGAGAACAATCCTAGTCTTATCATATGAAAGAAGTTTGTTCTACCTTTGTCTTTCCCTTGGCCTAGGTAAAGTCTAATTAAAATAAACCTCCCACCCTTTCTTATTTTCCATTTCCTTCGTACTTTTAAGATATTTATTTAAACTCCGATTATCTGTCCACTTCACCTTTAGTATTACGTAACTTTTAAGATTTGACCGAATTTATTTATTGAATTGTCTACACATACACATATTGCTACCTTTGTCATCCTCATTGCCACGTGTATAAACCATATTATTATTTTTTTTTGTCATTATGATCATCATTGTTACTGACGTTCAGAACATTTAACACGTTTTATTATTATTATTAGTAGTATTTGATCCATAAACTCACCGTCATTGGTTAAAGTTTTATATATAAATTTATGCAAATTAGAATAGAGCCTCAAGAAGATCTAGTTGACAACAGTATTGTTCGCTTATATGTCTTGTTCTAAAATACCATGTGTAAAAACATGAATGTACAAGCTGATAATGGTCCTTACGATGAATATCTTTATTCTTGGTGCTTATTTTTTTTGAATTATGAGAAATTCCGCCTTCAATTGGATCAGATATCTAAGAACTCAGTATTTGGATGTTAATATTCAGGTTATTAGTGAAGTCCTGAGGTAATCTGAATCCCATACCTGATGGAGTAGAAGGCGTGCATTGTTGAAGAGTCCCAAACTAGCATAAGAGAGCTTACACCGAGTTTTGTGACGAAGTAACCGAAACCTTAGAGGCATTAAATCTGAATAAACTGATAGTTACTTAAAAAGAAATGAGTGGAGAAATATATTCCTTTTCAACTATTTCCTCATCGCTGGCTCTACACTAATATATAGTTGATTTTTTAAAATCATAATTTTACGAATAATGTCATTATCTTAGTCCATCAGTTCGGGGTATAGGAGGGTGAAATATATAAGAGGTTAAAAGTCATCAAAACATTTAATTCATAGATGTTAGCAACAACATATCTAGATTTTGAAGGAGGGGTGAAATTTAATTACGGGATTCAAAACCAGTTAATTCTTAGAACTTTGCAAAAAGTTATTACACATAATCAAGAAATTAGCAAAATAATGATGACTCAGAAGAATAGAATGATTAAGCAGAATTACGTGAGATACAAACAAGTTAACTGAATTAGCTAGAATTGTAAACATAATAAAATAACAAAGCCAAAAGATAGTTACGAGGGGAAGGGAAAAATTGTTTTCGAAAACTTAATGCATGTTAAGTGGTTAGCCGTTGCGGACAAAAGGGATGTACAAATTTCTGTGGAGCCAAAGCACAAATTTGGCTTATTCAGATGAATTCCGATTGCCTCCGCTGTAGGAGTGAAAGTCGTACTCGTAGACGATGCGAAAGGTTGAGTGAAGTACAGTAAATAACTTGTAAATAGCTTTGCTGGAGTCAATGCTCAGTATCGACGAGATGAGCTAGTATTGAGCTGCGTATAGTTTTATTCGTACCTTTGTTGAACCAAGTTAGGAAGTGTTCAGAAATTCGACAGTGAACTTGCCTTATCGTACGCCTAATATAACGAGCTCCACACGGCAGTTAAACTGGTAAATACACATGGAAGAGGCGAAACAGGGCAGTCTGTCTGTTTTTATTCCTTGAACTAAGCATTGGTTGGCTAGTGAATATACAACATAACTTAGCTGCATAGAAAGTGTTTTTGAAGGTCCTTCTCAAACGTTGTGATATGATCCCACTATGAACATCATCGGTGAATTGTGATCTTAGGAAAACTGATTTTTCGGGAACAGCCGAAGGTTCCAGTCAGATGTGATTATGTATTACATTCCCATCATTTTGAACTTATATTAATCTGTTTGTTTCAAAGTTAAGATAATCTGGTACCACATCGTCTGTGCTGTTACAGTTTGTTAATTCTTGCAGTCTACCTATTCTTCTGTATTGCTTCCTCGCAACTTAATCTTTTCTGGGTTATTAAAGAAATACTTTGTCACATTGTGAAGTGCACTAAAAGCTGTGTGAGTGTGGTGTTGCTAATCTATTGTTTACAGACACTTGAACGTACTCAAGAAATTGACGAATATCATCTTGTCAAACTCTGACACATCCTCCTTATCGACAACTCTCCGTTTGCACCTCATCAGATAGTACTGGAGGCAATTATGAAAGACTTTATGCTGGAACGAATAAGCATAAAAGCTCTATGATACCTCATAGGAGAGAAGTGTTAGATACACTTATACTAACTCACTGTGAAACACCGAGAAAACGTCGCTTTTTATTCCTTCTATCATTATTAATACTGTTTTCAATATTCTACTTAAATTGTAATTTTATCTTCATATTCTTATTGACATGATTATCGATATAAATGCCTTGTTAATTATCCCCCCTCTCACCTCGTACTGTGTAAGTGTAAAGAGATAATATTTATATGACAAGCTGAAGATTGCACATTGTGTCAAACGTTATATTCGGAATAAAACCGTTATCATTATTATAAAAAGTTTAAGTCTGTGCACATATTTGCGTCATCTGTATTGATTTTTACCAGGTGTAAAAATGACAAATGAACCTCCAAAAGGCCTACGATCAAATTTATTACGTTCTTACTTAAATGATCCAATATCTGATCCAGCATTTTATGATGGATGTTCAAAAGTGAGTAGATTTTTAAATTATTTAAAAACTTTGTAAAATAATTTTACTTTTAACTTTTGAGGATGTACAGTTTTCGCCAAACACCCCCTTTGTTTCTTGTCCTGCCCATTTGGCTGCTACTTTGATGTGGCAGTGGTCAGGCCTGCACATCACAGTGACCCAACTTCACTAATTGGAACGAGTGTTCCTGTAAGCATTTCGACACGCCAGAAAGATTGTTTGAATAGTAGTTGCAATGGCATTTGAGGGGATGAAGGCGAAGTCGTACTTCTAGCCATCAGAGATGTAACACTCGTAAAGTATTTCCATCAGTCAGTCTAATGGTAAATGGGAAAATGTAGGTTGAATGATTGAGGTTATGGTGATGGTAAGACACAGTCTGACATCGCTGAAAATTATCTACCTCAGGACGGATGTATTTCCATCACATACACAAACCATACACATCTGTCCATTGTAGTATCACTGTGACCCTGTCCTCTTTCGTGTACTGTCTCAACATGTGCCAACTTGAACTGATCCATGTCTATTCTATCAGCTTTTTTTACGTTATTTCGTCAGCCTCTTGTTAATCGATCATGCTTGTTGAAGAAGGACACCTTGCTACATTCCCACTTTGTTTTGTTTATGTGAATTTCTTCTTGACAGAACCATGTTTATGAAAACAAAACACGTAGTTCAGTGAAAAGCCTCCTTTCAGAAAATTCACCAACTTAGCTGTATAGTCTCAGTGATAAATAATTATTTTTGTATGTCTGTGTACATTACGTTTGTAGACAAGAATAGAAATTAATTAGGGTTACTGTTTACGTCATCAAAATATTTCACAAAATTTGATGAATAATCAAATTGTAACTAGGGTGAGTGAAGATTAGTAAGAAGGTAGTGTTGACGATTTGTAAAAAAAACATAGTTGTTAATGTTAGTAAACGCATAAAAGGAGTTGCATAAGTATATTAGAATTACGCAATAAGATGAATAATTTAATAAGTGAGTTTTGATTAGGATATACATAGAGACGAAGGAAAATATGGTATAATGAAAGAGTTCTAAAGAAATACAAGAGTTTTATTATTATTATTCCCTTGGTTCTGAGTGGAACATAGGGCTTCAGCAACACACTTCCACTTTGCTCTATTCTCTCATGTCCTCTTCTTCTGGATCTACGATTACCCATAATCCCTCATCTCCTCCAACTGATAGGAGCTCCTTCATGTCACCCTAGGACGACTCCTTCGCTGCTTCCCATTTGGATTCCAGTCGACGTCATGCGACTGCCTCTTCAACGTATGTGCTATCCATCTCCATTTTCCCCCACATATTTGTTGAGCGATCGGCCCTTGGTTGGTTTGTTACCAGAGTTCCTTGTTGCTAATTCTTTCTGGCTAACCATTTGATCTTCAGTGAGGAGCAAGTGAAGGCAGATGTTGATAAAGTCTGCAACTTCGTGGAAATGCTTTCCGTGACTACAGCACAAAGTTTCTCACTCCTATGGAAGGATCGACTTGAAACTCGGTGTTGAAACTCCGAATCTTGTTCTCCGTGTTGGCTGAATGCAAAAGATTTCCAAACTAATTTCAGATTGATGAAGGCGTATCTTGCCATTCCAACTCTTCCTAGCTTTGACATCTGTATCCATTCCAACTGCCTGTGGTTGAAACGATGCTGGCTGCCTAGATAAATGAAGGAGGTAACCTCTGTTAAATCTCCTTCTTTGATGGTGATTGGTGCTAGTTATTATACATATATATATATATATTTATATACATACCGTTATCATAACTGTATTTTTTTAATTAATATGTACGCGATATACATATTATAGAAATGAATTCAATGGATTATATTGTTAAACTCAAATTGTCTACTTAAAACAAAACTTTACTACTGTTATTATTATTTTTATTTCAGAATCCTATCTGGCATAAAATGTTATTCGGGTTATGCTTTTTCCATGCCTTAGTTCAAGAACGTCGAAAATTCGGTCCACTTGGATGGAATGTTCCTTATGAATTTAATGAATCTGATCTACGTATAAGCGTGCGACAAATGAAGGTTAGACAGAAGTTCAAAGATAAATTTTTAAAACTTTGTTTTATTCCTTGTAATGCATAATTCGGATTGTCACATCATACAAGGATTAGATAGGCTAACAATTAACTAAGGTCTTTGATCACTAAAAAACAGGTTCAAAATGGTGAGGTAAAAACGTGGAAAAAAGTAATAACAGCGAAAGGAGCTAACAACATACTACAGAATGATCACTATCATCATATACTGAGAAATCCACAATTCTTGTCTTGTATCTACGCAGTATCGTTTCAACTACAACTAGGAGGTACAACAGAAGATGTCAAGGCTAGGCAGCAATGAGACAAGCGAGGCAAACATTCATTAATCTGAAATCCGTCTGAATATCTGCTGCGCTCAGCACAGGGGACCTGTACGGCAAACCAAAAGCAAGTGTGCGTGACCGCGCAAACGGCGTATGAAACAACCGAAAACCAATTTTCAATTGTGCAATGGCACAGTTACTAGCTCACTAGTTTTCTAGCCGGTCCCAAGCCCGGATAAAGAGGGAGGGTTCGGGTGTGGTGCTTGCAACTCCACCCCCAAAACTTAACCAAATCGCTACAGAAACTTCAACGCACAATTATATTAAAAATTCTAAAAAATACTCAGTAGCCATACGTCAAATTAATTTCAGTTTACTCTAAGAGAATGCGATGTATGTCATGGGTTGGTTTGTTCCCATTTTTCAATGGGTAACTAAATTTTCATAAGATTATAAGTTTAAAAATAAAACAGCTGCCTGATGTACTCAACTTTCCTGCCACAGTAAGACGTTTAGCGTAAACACTAAGACACACTTTCCAACAAGTTCTTCATTTCTTTATTTCTTTCCGTTCCCAGTGAAAAATAGGGCTTCAAACTTGAGCTGTGAAGTATCAATAGCAGTAGTGTTTTTTCTGTGTTTCTCACATCCAACACTTCCTCTTTGTCCGGCTAATAACCGGCCGGAATCGAACCCAGCAGCACGTACATGATTGGCCAGAATTTTGCGGGATAAAAATGATTAACTTTATACGGATATTGCAAGCTGTCAATGAAAAAGATCATGCGTGACTAGCATCCACCGAGTTTTGACTTGATAAAAGTCCGCGAGTACTTCTTCCAGAAAGAAGAAGTAAAATTAAGCATACCAAGCAACAAGTTTTCTCCACCCATTACACTTTGTGAGCTTTGTAGTGAATCCAGAGTAGGTTTTTTGTCTGATAAAATGCATTCAACTAGTTAACCCGACCATACAGAAAGCGCTTTTTGAATAAAGATGAACACGTCAGATGACTGACTGGCTCTTGTATTAATATCCATTAAGATCAGTAGACAGGCTTGGTAACAACTATCTTCGAAATTATATACTTGGGCAAGTACAGCAAAACTCACTGCACTAACTAACAGGCAAACAACTCAAAGTAAAAGCAACATTCTACCTGTTTCTTTGTGTCACCTCTATAGAGTAAAAATCACTGCTAGAGAAATGGGCTTTTGAATACAAACACCGATATGAGATGACAGTATGAATAACTCGTTATGGCGTAAGTATAATACAAATTTTCATGTATTGGTTTTCAGGGATTTCACTGATTTGAAGTTTGATCACGAAATGACTTGAGTTAGAGAGCCACTGAGTACCGGACAGCTGTTTCGTCCTAGTTTTGAACTCTTCATCAATTCACTTCAAAGACCCCACCTGGGACCGTACGCAGCTGTTCAGTACTTTTGGTTTTCAATGTTTCGCTAAATGAAGTAGGTTTGCGATCAAACTTGAATACAAACTTCATACCCATAAGTCAATGACCTACTACGTAAAAGCGTTTGAAACGGTCGTAGGCCTCAAAGTAATCTCAGTAATCACACCTTCTGCAGTCGAAATAACCAGTTGAGATCTTCAGTTTTTCAAAAAGTGATGAGTTTATCAATAATTCTTCTTGCATAAAAAAGTTTACTGTAGTTATTCAGACACTGGTGAGTGTAGCCGTTATAGAAGCTTTCATTGACACATAACATTTTAAGCGGAACTATTCGTGGTCGTTTAAGATATATTCAAGAATTATAAATGTGTAAAACTATTTTCTACTGACTGATCGACATGAGTAGTCGTACACCACTCACATCAACCATTAAGGATAGCTAACCACATCAAAGTGATCTAATCAATAGACAGCCGTCTCGCTCGCCCGAGGCCGAGCTGATCAGTGGTGTACCCAGTTTAGCCAAGCTCAGAGAACCGAATCAGTTGAAAGGAAACTGTGGTGAGCTTTCCTTCCCCAAACTGTGCAAAGTGCAAATTAATTTGAAAATTGTTCAAACAAGTGGCTAGCCAGAAATGAGTCAAAACCGCCACACCGCTGATGAGCACGGCCCAAAACGAGCAAAATGGCTCTCCGGTGTTTAGACCACCTCGACCTGGCTAGGAAGCATTACTGGTTCATGCGAGAGGTATACAACTACTCGTCTCAACCAATCAGTAGTATCTAGTTTTATGCATTTACTGTTGGTTTGTTGATTACCATTTATGTTATCAAGTAGATCGATCACATATTGTGACGTGAATAATTTTGCCTTCCTAAAGGAATTGTGGTGAGATTTCACCTTCTCGAACTGCGTAAATTGCTAATTGATTTGCCAATTCAATATTCAAGATTCGTCTAACCCTAGTGTGTGTATGTCCCCTAACTGGTTATGTATCATCATCTGGGATAATTTACTTCCACTGTCTACACATTCATTAACATTCCATTATTCCTCAATTTCTTTTTAGATGTTTTTAGATCAGTATGATGAAGTTCCACTAGAGGCATTAACTTATCTAACTGGTGAATGTAATTATGGTGGGCGTGTAACAGATGACAAAGACAGGCGATTACTGATTTCATTATTGGGAATATTTTATAACAGAAAGATTATTGACGAACAGCATTATAAGTGAGTTATAAACCTTTTTATTGTTTTTTTTTAATTTGTTCATTTAGTTCCTTTGTGTACCCAGTGGATCACAGGGCTTCGAGCTTAAGCTGGGAAGTCTCAGTAGCGGTTTTGATTTTAATAGTGGGGTTGCTAGCCTAACAACCAGCTAAGCAAGGTTAAGGGAGGTTGGGGTCAGCCACGAATGGAACCTCAAATCATATGCTTTGCAGGCGCGCATTCTAGTACTGACCCACCGACTCACAGCATTAAGAGTAAGTGATACCATTTAGGCGATTATACCCCTCTTTCGAAGGGGCACCACCTGCTTAATGCGATGCTTATTAGGGCTTTTCAATAGATTTACAATGGCACAGATATATTTGGGATAAATTTGGCAACCCTTAATTAGGGTAGACTAACTAATTGCAAATCATCCACCTTAGCTACAAATGTTCTGTATTATTTTAAGGTAGACTTCCCTGAAAAGTTGTACCCTGGTCACCTTATTGGCCAATCAGTTATGAGCTCATAGTCAGCTAAAAGCATTTTTATTGGGTCTTCTGCCTATCCTCATTCTCTTGTGACCTGACCTTTTGGGTCAAAATACCTCGACCATATGTATATATATGCATATATTGGTTGGAGGATTTCGCCTTGTAACCAGAATGTCATGGGTTCGAACCCCGGTGAGTGCGAATTGATGAATAGTCCCGAACTAGGACGAAACAGCTGTTCAGTACTCCCAGAGTGAACATGTTAACAGAGAGGTTATGTCCCAATAGGTTGTTGTCCAGTAGTCAGTATAACTACCTAGCTCTAATTATTATATTGTTTGGAATCTATCAATAAGTTTTGTGGTGGCTCCAGATGATACTGCCGTACACTGCAATGCTTGGTAATCTGTTTGCATATGTTGTGATAAGTCAGTATATGATAGGTGTTAACAAGCCTAAAGGTTGGGTTTAATGGATTCCTGCAAAATGAACTTCTTCTGACACTAACCTCCAGCAATGTTTACTCTTTCCATCATCGGTATTCAGACCTATACAACTTAATTTACATTTTATAAGCAGTATGGTAAAGTTACAACCAGCTAGCTTTTGTGTGGGGAGGCATAAACTACTATGGTTAAATTATATATGTTCAAACCAAGTTCACTTGTAACGATTTGAAAAAATTTGGGCATTGGGTATATAATATTCATTATAATAAAGGTTTTTGTATTTCCCAATGAATGAAAAACAAAACGATATTGTTTTTACTGACGTTTCGCTATTTAATGCTAGTAGCTTTATCAAAGTATTATTAAACCGGAATTTACCAAATCTCAGCATATATATAACAAACAGTTAGGGGGCGAGAAAATAGACTTAGGTTAAGGTAAAGGGACATATTGAAAGTTAAAATACTAATGAAGATCACTAAACCAAATAACAAAGGTAACAGTACATCTGTTATGGTATCAAAATAAAGTTTACTAACTTGATTATCGTTTGTCTGTCTGGGGTCATTTCTCGTTGTCAAGTTGGTCAATTGGTAAAGATAACAAAATCAAGTGTGGATTGTTGGATTTGATCGGTGTGTAAAATTATAAAACTAGTGTGTGTTTACATAGTGGACTAAAACAGAATCTGACCTGGTTACAACACCTCCCTCCCCCATGAAGTGACAAAATCAACACGAATGTGATAAACAAGTTCACTATGTAAACACACACTGCCTTTATGATTTTAAATACTGATCAAATCCAACAATATACACTTGATTTTGTTATCTTTGCCAAATGACCAACTTGACAACAAAAAATGCCCCCATACTAACGAACGATGATCAATTTAGTAAACTTTATTTTGATACCATAACAGATGTACTGTTACCCTTGTTATTTGGTTTAGTGATCTTCATTAGTATTTTAACTTTCAATATGTCCCTTTACCTTAACCTAAGTCTATTTTCTCGCCCCCTAACTGTTTGTTATATATATGCTGAGATTTGGTAAATTCCGGTTTAATAATACTTTGATAAAGCTACTAGCATTAAATAGCGAAACGTCAGTAAAAACAATATCGTTTTGTTTTTCATTCATTGGGAAATACAAAAACATTTACTATAATGAATATCATGGTTAAAGATCAGTTGTATATATTTAGTCAGTCTGTTGACTGCACATGGATCACCGGCGGTAACTGCTTAATCCTATCAGTCTTACTTATCTTCACGAATTTAGGTAGGGGACCTAAACAAAATCACAGCGAAAGGAAACGTCATGACTGCGTAAAATTTCGTCAAACTGATCAATTACTCTCTTAATTATTCACAGTTTTATAGCAGAAAAGTGATTAGATATTTTAACTGTCAGAGTTTTTCCGAATTCATGCCTACAAATCAATCTGAAAACAAACTAAAGCTCAAAAATACAGAGAAAAGCGAAAAATGAGAACATACTCAAAATTGAAATGCAAACTGATTTAGGATAAGCGGATGATACCCTCCTCGTGTGGAGACATTGGAAAAAATACGCAGTATTCTCACAACTTTCATTAAAACACCTTGACCTAGGTTTCGTCCTTGTTGGCGCTCTCACCAGTTGACATGGTGTAGCCACAGTCTTGGAGGGACTCAAATCCCCACTGACATTCAAACCCGGGTCAACCAGTGCTACCACTGAGATACTCAAGCTCGCGATTGACCTCCTGTAGAAATGTATTGGATACTTTGATTGAACACATGTTAACTGATGTTATGTGCCCTACTGACTGGCAAGTGCCAACAAGCACGAAGCCTAGGCGTAGGGCTTCCCGCCGACTGCCTCCAAGCATTTAATATCATTAATTCATAGCGCACCGTAATGGCAAGCCACCTAGCCTGCTGGTGGCGACATTGCAGACTTGACTGATATAATTTAGTCTGCATCAAACAAAAGACTAAATACATGATACCATTTGACAAGTGTCCAGTCAAAGCCAACAAGAGGTTTTTCGAAACAGTGTTTTGATTCCTAAGTGTATGAGCCTATGATACAAACTCCAAGTAGATGAATGTAGCTTCATTTGAACTAAACTGAAGTGACGGTCTTCTTTTAATCATGACAGTTGGTGATAAATTTTGATCCCTCAGATTCAATCTGGCATAGTTCCTAGCTTCTAAAGTTATTTAAAGTTCACAAACAAACGTGATATGCCTTGTCTCGAGTTTTGCACATGGCTTCAAGAATAGAACTCCCATGGCTCCGTTTTAAATACCTCAGAGAAATAACAACCTTTCAAAGTGAATTATATACTGAACCGTCAGTTAGTGGTCTTGATATCAATGGAAGACAATATTTAGTTTGATGGAGTAGGTGGCACGAGGAAACTGAGTTGGCCAAAGAAATACGTTCCCGCTTATCTTGATGATTCACAGAAACCTTCATACACCGATAGGGTTCTGTATAGGTAAAACATAGTTTATTTTCTATTTTTTACTTTTATGCATTTTGTAGATTTTCACCATCTGGAATATACTACTGTCCTGATGATGGTACAGCTCAAGACTTCATCGAGTATATACGTTCACTACCGCTGAATCCAATGCCAGAGGTCTACGGCCTACACGACAATGCTGATATTACTAAAGATAATCAAGAAACATTCCAGGTAAACTTAAACCAGTAAGAATATTCACACTGACATGTTTGCGTGCGAATGAAATTCAGCAGAAGAACCTTATTTCAAGTTAGATCACGACTGGTGGTGTCAGTTACAGAAACTTTGGAAAGCAAGGGAATACTGGAGGTTTCGTTTTGGTTTTGGAGTCTTCATCAGTACGCACCCACCCGGGATATACATATATATTTGTTAGATGCCTGGAGAAATCCCTGTCTGGACCTAGTTTTTGTGATTGTTGGCACTCACCAGTCAGCGAGGAGTATCTGCAATCCTAGAGAAGCTCATGTAACCTGAGATTCGAACCCAGGTCACCAAGTGCTGCAGTCAGAGACGTTGCCACTGAGCTATTCAGTCTGGTGATTGACCTCCTATAGAACTTTAATGGATACTCTGACTGGAAACTAATTATTGACTAACATCGTGCTTCTAGTCCTTGGTTTGGCGCCGACTTTATTCTATCAGTAACATTTGTAGTGTGGTCACCATGCCTGGTGGCTCACCATCACGGTGCACAATGAATGGATGTTTTATAATTGGAGGTAATCAGCAGAAGGCTGTTGATAGAATTCAGTCTGCATCAAACGAAGGACCAGGAAAGTATATATATATATATATATATATGCACAATATTCTGAAATAAAGTGTAGTATTAAAGGATTTTTAGCCGTTGACATTATACAACCGCTTCACATTGTTTCTCACAGACTGCAGTGTTTTACTATCCATGTTTCATGAGATTTTTCCTTACTCCAGCACAACCTACATTGTTTCGTTTTATTTCATTTTTCGCCTAGCTGTTTTCTGGAATCTTGTTAACTTTGCCAAGACAAAAGGGTGGAGCCGGCAAATCACCAGAAGTCAGTGTGCAAGAACTTGCCTCAGATATCCTTTCGAAACTGCCACCCGACTTTAATTTAAAAGATGTAAGCTTAATTAAACTATTATGCATGTGATTTCAGTTGTTAGATTTCTTCACGAACTGACGTCAGTTAGCGAGATCACTGAAAGCCAGGGAGCACTGGACAGTTGTTTCGTGCTATTTCGGGGCTCTTCACCAGGAGTCGAACCCAGGACCTTCAGGTTATGAGGCCAGGCTCGTTGACTTGGTTGTGTTTGATTTATTTCGAAAAGGCAACCAGAGAACTCTGTATTTATATCACACAAACGTTAGTTTCTCATGAAAAGTGTGCTGTACTTAGTCCGAACGTGAAAAATTCATCAAAGCCTCTGAAGTGAACAGAGGAGTAAGTCAGGGCTGTCTGCTATCACCGATGATATCCCTAATTATCGTGAACTGGATCATGCGACAGATAGTAGGGAGAGAGGAAACTGGCAAAAGTTGAACGGATAAGAAGATTCTAAAAGATTTGGACTTTGCCGATGATTTATGCCTAATGTCACACAAACCCGAAGACCTACAGGCGAAAACCAACAAGTTGGGAGAAGTGACAGTGAATTCATGACTCCAAGTGAGGAAAACTACCATACTCAGGATATAGATGATGATTCAGATGTTCAACACTAATGTCAAATCAATGTTTTTATATGGTCTAGAGTCGTGGCGAATCAATAAAAGCATTTCAAATTGGCTTCAGACTTTTTTCAGCAACTGCCTTAGGTGACTCAGTACTGAAGATCCAATGGCAACAAAAAATAAACAACAACGAACTCTGGAAACGCACCACCTAAGAACCTGTCTTCCAAGAAATGCGGCGAAGAAAGGCATCAGCAATGAGAAAAAAAGGGTCACAGTCCAGCTGGATCATTCTGTAACAACTTACATAGACTATAGTATACACTGATATTTACTCAGTATCAAGCCTTTATTTATAGAAGAGATTACATTTATCAGAGAACAACAGTAACCTTTACTTCAATATGAAATAAACGGTATAATGAGACATATAACTACGACTAGAAGCAGGATGACTGGGAACTTATTTTAAAGCTATTCAAAAAGAGATACAAAAAGGAAATTGAGGCGTTATCCTTGAAGTGTAGCAAGCTACTAAACGATACAGATGTTGAATGAGAAACAACGATTTGGGCGTGGATCCGTGGGTGATTTGGAGGAGACCATTTCAGGAGGAAATGAGAACCTGTGAGTAAGCGTGGAGCCAGCCAAAAATGAATGCACAGAACAGATTTAAGTGATGAACCACTGTTGAAGCCCTAAGTTTCACCAGGAGCCCAAAGGAACAATAAGAATACAAAGATAAGGAATGTGTTCGCTCAGGCTACCAAGAATTAGGAGTGAAACTGCGATATATTTAATATAGTTTAGAATTAAAATGGATATATACTGAGTTTATATTTTAACATCAAAATGGATGTATCTAGATGACACATATCGAAATGAACAAAACAATTCCAAGTTGTAACTAGAGTCAATGTCGAACGTTACAGATATCAGATTTAAATCATTCTTACGTCATAGTATTGTTTCCTGTTTTGACAAAGGAGCCAAATATGTCCTATATACCCTCCTTGACTTCATATCTACCTTTGATTCTGTACTCAGATGCCTTTTATTAAATAAGCTTTCCCTGACAAAAACCCAGTCCTCGGCTGTAGACGGGTTGCATTCTTATTTCTCTAACGGGATGCAGGATATTATATATAAAGGCAAGTCTTCTTCTACCTTGCTTACTGTAGCTGGATTCCCTCAATGTGCTGTTCTCTCTTGCTTTCTCTCTTCCTTCTTTATATGACTTACCTCTTTCGGATGAAGTCAAATTCGTTAAATACGCTGATCATCTGACTCTTGCTGACAGTTAAGTCCCAGTCTGAGTGTTTTAAACGTGATGGCTTTTTTTTTCGGATATCAGCCTGCCGGTGGTCTAAGCTAAATGGTTTTACGTTAAATCCCTAAAAATTTCAGACAGTTAACTTCACCCTCAGGCATAAACATGATCTACAAAACTAGTACGTTCACAAGATACTTGCAGCATAGAGGGCGGTGAAATAGAAACTAAGTCAAGCATAAAATACTTTGGAATAATTCTATCGTCTGACCTTTCTTGGTCATCCCATATCTCATCCATTTCAATAACGTGTCCCATCTAACCTACTACATTAACAGGTTGAGATAATCAGGAATCAATCAACTACTCACTACTTTTAGAATTTGTTAACTCTTCCATCTTACCTTTTGTAACACACTGCTCCCCCTTAGTCTTTTCTAGGCTACTCTAAAAGCACTATGTCATACTGCGCAGGATATCAGAGGGTTTCAGTATGGCAAGCAGTGTGCCATCACTAAGTCAACTCGTTTCTACTGTAATCGACAGACAGCTGAACTCATGTGAGGAATGGTCCAAATCCATATTGAGTGACTCTCGATATTGTTTCTATTCTCAACTCTCCTATTGCATCTCATAAGATAAGACTCATGTCATTATAAACGATTATATGCTCTGCACTCTATATGATAAAGGTAGCGTTAAGAGTGAAACCTACGACTTACTATGTTATTAACAAAATAATTGACCCTTTTATCTTCAATTAACTTAAAATTTTAGCTATCAGCATAATAATCACCATCATTATTTTACACTTTTTTGTATATTTTTGACTTTACTGTCACTCCTAATAGCTGTTATTATCAATTCTGGTTACCTATACCCTGTAAAATTATATTTCTGGCTTTTGCTGTTGTTCAGCAAATTATATGCAATATTATACCAAATGCTGAGAACTCCACACCATATCATAAGTACAGTTTTGTTATCAAGCAAATTATTTCTAGTATTATTCTAATGATGTACGCAGATCTCGTATTTGATCACTTTTCACACGTAAATAGTTGCTTCTAAATTGCTATTACTTCTATCTTGCAGTTGTTGGTTGGTTTCACATGACAGTGGAAGCCAGGAAAGATAATTTCTTCTTTATTGAACTGGATGCATCTCCTTGATAGTGAATATCTTCCTTGTAAGTCTAAAGCATAACAGAGATATCTTTCAACATCACAGTGTTGATCACCAAGCCCAACCGGTATCATTTTGTGCAGCGGATGATGAATTTTATCAACTCAAGACGTGAACATCATCACTGGCTACTACGTAGATTCAAAACAAAAGTCTAAAGTAGTTGCACAAAGCCAGCATCTTGAACTACACTACACTATTAACCCCACCACTACCACCACCTACCACCAAACAGACGACAGCTGATATTATAGTCCTGTTTCATTTTATTCTCTCTTTTGGCTCTTAGGTAATTGGTCATTATCCTGTAATGTATAAGGAGTCAATGAATACAGTACTGAGACAGGAATTAATACGTTTCAATCGTTTGACCAGTGTGGTGCGTACAACACTGATAGATTTACAGAAAGCTATCAAAGGTTTGGTTGTTATGTCTGCTGACTTAGAAGATGTATTCAACTCAATGCTTGTTGGTAAAATACCGAGTGTATGGGCAGCGAAATCATTTCCATCGCTTAAACCACTCGGAAGTTATGTACAAGATTTAATATACAGGTAGGATTAAACAGCAGTGAATATGCATTTGTGTTTTTTCTAATTGTTGTTGACCCTTTGTCGTCAATAGTTGTAGAGATTGTTGATGTATGAGAGAGAGACTCATCGCACAGTTTTAGATGAGCCAGTAAGAAGCTGTAAACTGTTCAGCTTCAACTCAATGAATGATACAATTGCGTCATTCTTCTTTGCTTGAATATCCCCATTAATTCATGAAAATAAAGATATATTCAGCCAAGAATGACTCTTTCTAATGACTCATCTTGAATCAGTACAAACTCTCTGTATTCTGGATTCACTTGGAATTAAAGTATATTTTCGAAGATTATTTTGAAGAAATCCAGTAGTGATTAAAGCTCAGAATATTCGTATGAAGAAATACTCAATGTAAAAATAGTAGTCAAATCAATTAGGTAACTTTGAATGAATCTCTCGTAGATATTAAGTGGCCAGCATGTTAAAGCACTCTGTGTTGACCCACCATACCTTTCTGTAGCTATGAAGGGTAGTGTTCCTTGACCACCTTCTTAGACTTAACACTCGTTCCATGGGAGCAAGTGAATTGGTGGCAGAAACACAAACTAAACGTCATAACAGACCTCTTGCGAATCGGATTCCAAGAATCTTTAACCCAGAGTCTATAGATAAAGAGATTACACTTTTGAAGAAGACACTGATTGAAAAAAGCATCCCTCCAATGCTTCATAGATAAACACGCGTAAGACCAATAACCAAAGCAAAATGAAATCCCATCTGTGTACCGAAAAAGATGTCATACAAAAATGCGGCGTCCAAATGCGATCTTCTGGCCGATACTGTATAGAAGGGAATATATCGAACGCCCAGAAAAGAACATTCCTTGCTTCTACATTAGGATTGGTAGTCTCTTGTCACCAGGTGTTCTCCAGTAACTCTAAAGATAACCTGTTACATTCGACTAATTCCAATGTGTATCTACTGATTCAGTTGCTTCTGTGGAAAAAGATTTGTACACTTTTTGATTGGACACCAGTCAGTAACTAATGTAATGTATCTAGTCCTATCTTCGGTGCAGACTGAGCTCTATCAGTCAAGCTTGCAATGTGGCCAACATGCTAGGTGGCTCGCCATTACGGTGCACTGTGAGCTGTTGGTATTAGATGGTTGGAGGCGATCGGCAAGAAGCCTTGGACCTAGGTTTCGTGCTAGTTGGCACTCATCAGCAAGGTGTATCTGTAACCTCAAAGGAAAACTCATGTCCCTTCTGAGATTCGAACCCGCGTCACCCCGTGAGTACCGCAGTCACAGACGTTATCACTGAGCTATTCAGGCTCGCGATTGATCTCCTGTAGGACTGTATTAAATATTTTTGATTGGACATTAGTCAGTAACTAGTGTAATATGTCCAGTCCTATCTTCGGTGCAGACTGAATTCTATCAATCAAGCTATAGACTACACTCCATTATGGATAAGATTTTATTTTGGTAAATAACACAGTTTTGTACAGCAATATTAACTGGTAACGTTTCGAGCACAAATTACTGCTCATAATAAATCAACATATAAATTAGATTGGATTACTTGACTAACTGGTGATAACTATATTTTAAAAAGTGAATACTTGTAGAATATTTCTGTGTGGCCAAGGGAATGAAACCACATAGAAATAATCATGGAGACTTTTGAGAAATCTCTCACGGGAAGGTAACATCTAACGTAGCGACAACAACCTTCTAGAAGATAAGTAATTTATTGTCCCTGTATAGTCAGATTATTATTTTTATTATACTGCTTTATTCCTTCACCTTCATAGTGGAACATAGGATGCCTTGAAGCCTAAGCTCTAAAGTTTTATTAGCAGAGGTGTTTATTTTAACGGAGTGGAATTGTTAGCCTCACGCGCAACCTTCCATCTCTGTTAAATAACTACTGTTATCTAAATGCTTGCTCCAAACACTACTGATTTGAAGCAGAACACTTCAACCAGGGAATTCCAAATCCTTAAATATAAATATCATCTCTCCCTCCCCCGCCACACACACACTGTCATTACTTCGAAATTTTCAACATTTTCTTCTTGTTCTATGACAGATTGAAGTTCTTCGCTGATTGGCTTACATACGATGCACCACCAGTGTTTTGGATATCAGGTTTTTATTTCACTCAATCATTTCTAACTGGTGTGTTACAGAATTACGCTAGAAAGTATACTATTCCAATAGATACACTTGGATTCACATTCCAGGTGACTAACAGATACCTTAATACTGTCAACCTGCTGGAAAATGCACCATCAACTGCCAAGTTACCGAGATTATCAACGCAAGGCACTAGGCATCCATCAGTGGCTGTTATTAACTACAAACCAGTCAGACCGAATGAACAATTTGACGATTTCATCAAACCAGATGATGGTGCTTATATTACAGGACTGTATTTAGAAGGTGCACGTTGGGATCCAACAGACGGTTGTTTAGCTGAATCAAAACCAAAAATACTATTTGATACAATGCCAGTGGTGAGTCGTATTCATTCTACTTGATATGATGTAATGATATAGTGTATATCCGTACAAATTTACAGATAGCATCTCCTCCCTTATATTTATCAAGGCCCGCTCGTGTTGGCATCGGCAGTTCAGTGGCAGAATACTCGCCAACTACGCAGGTGGTTCCAGGGTTTGATGCCTAGCCTGTGCACCTAGTGAAACCTCGCTTAGCCAGCGGTAAGCCCGGTAATGAGGTGGGGGGTCTTGCGTCCGACTAGCAACCCCAACCAACAGGAAATAAACACTACTGCCAATGAAACTTCAGTGCTCAAGCTTCAAGTTCTATGCTCCACTGGAAACGTGACGGAGTAAAATGTTCTTCATCATTCTTGGTGTTATCCCCGAACAGTTGAAGGCAGATAGCAATTTTAGGAAGCTGTTAGTTTTAACATAAAATAATAGCAATGTTAAAAGTGAATTATGAGATGATTACTGACAATAACCTTGTCAAGTCTGTACTACTTTATGATTCAGAGACTTGGCGCATTTCTAATAGGATACAGACCATGATTAACAGATGTCTTCTCTTGACACTGAAAATCAGATAGCTGGTCGGAAAAGATAAGTGGTAAAGAATCCTGGTAGCTAACCAGTCAACAACCTATTGCTCAATCAACACATATGTACGCAGAAAGCAATGGAGAAGAATTAGACACACTCCTGAGGAAATCTTCAAATGACATTAAACAAAAGGCCATGAGGCCGCAGGTTGTACATGCGTATTAGGTGGCATGAAGCAGATCATCTGAAGAGGAAATGAAAGGGTTTTGTGGACAATTATGAGAACACCTGAAAGTGTTGACAGAGAACCCAGTGCAATAGATATGTACCAGCACAAGGAAATGAATAATAACAACAGTAATGCTGTAAGACGGTAACTGCTTACCATGCTCATCTACACCCCTAAACGAAACCTGTTCCTTACTGTTTCAGTTTTCGAATATTAAACATAAGAAATAAGTTCTGAGATAGGAAATTCAGGTTAAGACGACCTGTTTCTAGAAGAAAACGGAAGAAAACGTGTAGTTTCAGTTCCAGTTATTCCAAAAGGTGGAATTCTCTAGCAGATGGTGACTGGGAATGAAATGAGTATCTAGGATTTGAATCAGAGACCTCTGAATCACTGGTCCGGCTGTCTACCAGATTATCTACAATATCCACCTTTTAACTATGTCACCACTTCAATGTAATTACGGGAAGTGAAGTTCAGTCTGACAGGTTAACTGATATAGTACCGGAGTGATGTGATGCATAGTCCGCTGGTTCAAATCCTTTCTGAGATTCAGACTTCCACTTCACCTTCACTCAGTACAGCAATAATAGTCTGCTAACCCGTAGCTGTTTCAGATATTCTCACCATCAATTTTCTAATTTCATTGGAATAAATTAGTGGCCAAAACTTAATTAAATAAAAATTATTATCAGTCTTCTCTGTTTTCTTGTTCATTTTTGTATAAATGTTAGATATGGCTTGTTCCGAAAATACTGAACGAAATCAATCGCGAATCAACGTACAATTGCCCAGTCTATAAAACATCTGCTCGACGTGGTGTCCTATCGACTACTGGACATTCAACTAACTTTGTTTTGTATATTGATTTGAGAACAAATCAACCAGAAGAGCATTGGATTAATCGTGGGGTAGCTGCTTTATGCCAGTTAGACGACTAGCGAAGGAAGAGTGCGAAACATACAGGCTCAGATAAATTATATTATAATATGTGGGTGCTTGCTTTCTATTAACAACGACAACTCAATGAACTCAATGTGAAGTTCATGAGTATATTTCATGAAACTATCAAATGATCCAGTATAATGCCTATAACATTTGAACTGAGAATGAGAACACTTATTACATTGTTTAAAAAACAACTATTCAGATATATAACCTAGATGAATACTTTTATTGAAATTACTTATTCTTTTATATACATATATATTATCAGTATGAGGGGATAAAAGTGTCTTTTACCAAAGATATTAGCAAGTCGAAACCAACTAGAATACACTGCTGTGTTTTAAGAAATATCCTCCAGATGAGCTTTACAATCGTATTAATTAACTATACTCTGCGATACTATAGTCAGTTCATAACACTGAAAGTGAGCAGACCACAAAGTGTCTCCTGTTTCGATGTCAAGCTAGACAGAATCATCAGTGTAACTACAATAAACACCGATATTCACAAGATACTACTTCTGATGTGGGCTTAAACATGGAATTTCTAAAAGACATATGCAGTAAGCTACTTTGTATGAATAATTAGCAAAATGAATGAAGATACCCTTTTCAGTCATTTCATTCACTTACCTGTACAGTCACAATTATATACAAGTATCACTTGTGTATTTGTGTACTCAGTTAATCAAGCGGATACGAAAATAATATCAATCTGATGCTCACCAGTGACTGGCCTCATTCAGGCAGGTAGTTACCCGGGTGGGTTCTAGCGGGAAGTCGTAACCAGTAAGGTACAGTAGGTCGGATTTGAGAACAAATACTCACCACTGATGACACTGGCTAGTGCCAGTCGCGATATACTGTGAATTCGTAGAAGTTGGAATTCACAGACTAGCCATCGGATCAGGTCCCAGTGGCTTATTGGCCTACGAGCTCTCTCGCCTTGTAACCGGAAGGTCGTGGGTTCGAGCTCAAGCGGGCACGTGCCAATCTAGGCAGACGAAACAGTTGTCTGGCAGTACTCCCAATGGTTCTCTAACCAATGTTAGCTCACGATAAAATCCTGAAGCCAATCAAATCCTTGCATACTGACACTTGGATAATAAAGCTATTTGGACTATCAATCACATCATCTAAGTATTTTGAAATAGTGAAGGAGAATTAAAATGTAGTTAAATTGTGGATAAGTTTCTCCTTCCTTCTACCTTTGACACAATTTCAACCTCAATTCTTTCTTGCATCTCTTGGTATTAAAACTGTGGACTTCGCCGTCTTAGGTAGCCTTTTGTTTACTCTGTTTTGCATAAAATATTTTGATCTTTGTCGCCAATTCTCTTTCCATTAACAAGCAATTTATATACTACTTTCTACACAACCTCTTCTCGAACTAAAGACTCTAATCTTCGCAATCTCAGCTACATTATGATTAGTGATCATTGCGACTGTACAACTGAGTGAATGAAATGACTATAAGGAAGTGTCGCTTTGCTGAACTATTTGTTTTGAATTCTATCTCTAGATGAGCATCCTTCTCACGTATTAAGTGACACACTATGAAGTCGCTCTATTGTAAATGTGTTGTCATTTGAAACAAATGATGTAGGGGTGACGTTACGACCTTAATCAAATATAATGGGAATTTGTAGCTCAGATGAATGAGATTGGGGGAGTTGCATGTATGAAAGCTTCGCAGCTAAACCAGGTGGCGCAGGAGAAATATGACTACAAGAATAACAGTTTGAATAACCCAATGCATGGTCTTAATTGCTAGGTTTACTGATGTAAAATCATAATAATCATAAAAGGTCACTTGTTTCATGATAAACAACCGCAAAATATCAAATTTTCAACAGAGATTGGTTACCCCGATTTGTAGATCTAGTATTCATGTTGACCAGATCAGTTCTAACCGTTTAGTATTTTTTCGACAAGCCATGGCGCTTGCGAATACATCGAGGATTTACTGGTTACAAGTCCGTGAATAGAAGAACACTAGGACTGCCTAGTGACTTTATACGCAATCATGGACGATCTTGTGTTTTTCATATCCCTACAGTTTCCGTAAAAGCATTTCCGAATGCTAAAAGAGATCTCGAACTACTCATACCAGCTTCAAAACACATCTCAGTTTTGCTATATCACTCGTCATCGTTACTTTTTGTCCACTGACAGGTTACCAAACTCTGTTACCGATATGTTGTAGCACCTATACGTTGAAACTGTCAAAACACTCCCACCATCCAACCATTTCATGAATAGCTTGACGTGCACTGACCGAGTTACAATGTGATCAGTAGCCACTAAATCTACGGAAAACTAGTCTTTCTTGTTATCTTATTTGTTATTATATCACAGTGACCCTTAACAGTTTGTTTGAGAAGGCATTAGAATTCCTTTACGTGCTGCCGTTATATTGCACTATAATTGGGTTCGCCGAACACATGAATTCGCAGAGTTTAACTTCACTTATTTACATAGATAGGAATAAATGTATATTATTATTATATTAAACTACAGTGAGGCTATTGATTCTGCTACCAGTAATATTTCCTTAAGCAAGTTAACTTCAGCATCCACTCAATAAGTAGCTACCCAAGCTTAAAAAGGTCAGATACTCTTCAACAACCACTTGTTTCATGTTAAACAACCGCAAGAAAGACCACATTTTCACCGGAAATGATGTCACTTTATCGTGCCGATTAGGTCTACTGACAAAACTAAGGAATAATAGAGAACCTAGATGCATTGTACAGCTGTATCGTCCCGGTCGAGCACTGTTCACTAGTGCTATCACCAGGAAAGAACTCAGGACCTTCTGACTACTTGTCGAGAATAAAATCAACATTCAAATTAATTCTATTCCTAACAGCTTGACATGTGAGTTCCACTATGGAGAAATGTTTATTTGATAGCCTCGTAGTGTTACACAGTAATATTCACTGGGGACGTCACGCGAACAGTTTATTACTCATGATCACATCATATGATAATGGAATCATAGTCTAGCACAGCGCCCAAGTTCAATTATTATATTAACACGTGAGTTGTCAAAAACCTGAATATATGATATTGCTTAGTATAAAACATATAAAATTACTTATTAGCAGGTTTTCTAAATATTCACACACACACACATATATACTCGCTTTCCTCAGCATTGGCACTGACATTCCGCAACTGAGTAGCATGAACAATAAGCACAAAATCCCAAAAAATTCAGAATTGTCAATCTCCATTAAAAACGATGGTTATCTGTCCATAAAACAATCGACAGACAGACACACAATATTGAGATTGATTTATTCGAAAAGGCTATCCTCTATAATAATTTATACCTTTTTTCTTTTTCTATATGCGAAAATACCTCAGTTTCAGACCAAGATACCATCAGTCAATAACTGAAAGAGTAAGATTTTGTGGTTTAAATTATATTTGAATGGCTTGTCAGGAGAAAGCAAGGGGATCCTAGACATTTTTATGAGCCGTGGACTTAATGACTACCAGAATGCATACTAGAGGTTTAAGCACTCGGAAGCTACGAGGTAAACATAGTTAATCTGATTAAGATCCGAAACTTAATTTGTGAAATAATGTCTTCACAGGGTACATATATATCACTTAAATGTCGAAAAAACCTATTGTGGACCTTGAGAAAGGAAACAGTATAATAAGCTGTTGACTAATCTCTAATGAATTTAGGCAGAATGCCTTGCACGTCCCACAAATGAGTGTATTCACTCATTGCCCAAGTTTACTAAAATGCTTAATCGAATCTCGCTAATTCTGAACTGACTCTAACATTCTACAGTAAGTAAATTCTGAAATGGTTTGGTTATGTGCACAGCTAGAACTCAGAGCTGGTTTTCAGCATGACTGGCACTAATTCAGCACTCTGTGATTTTCCTAGGTACCTCAGTAACTACTGTGTTTGCCTATCAATCTTATTTCAGCCCTGTTACCCCAGATTCAGCACTGGCTGGAATTACTTTAGAACAACAAGAAGTAGTTCATCGCATAGTGGCAATAATTTCAGCTTTATTTCACCGCTAACGGCACTATTTCAGCTGCAAATTCTATTTTTAAGGTATCGTCACATTAATCAAGCTTCCAGTGCTCTTTCTAAGAACTGTTAGCGTTATTTCAGTTCATAGTGAGTACATTTTAGGCGGATGAAATATTCATTTATCATAAAAAGGCATTATCGATGCATAGGTTAGAATTCACTTAAAACTATTGTAAGCTTGGGACACTGGAGTTTCCGATCGAGAATGAAGACCACTTAGAGATGCTGGAAGCATCTTTAAGAGACGAAAATTACAAACAGCAATATCTGAATTGACATATTTAATTCTTATTTCTTGTTGACTGCTAAGATGATTAGCTGCCTTCAGAGTGATCCAAAGTTATCAATTAAGGTCATGATGCACCATGTTCTAAAACCTGAATTGGCTTTGAAGTTTACATTTCAGGGGACTTTGACAAAGTTCAGCATTGTGCCTTATGCCTATTATACAATAATGAGATGTAAGCTTCATTAATGAACCTGAACTTTGTATCCAAAAATAACACGTCCAGACGCTGTTCCTACCGTGGTCAAACATGGATTGATGATTCTTCTTCTCACCAAGGGTGCTCTTTCCCCCTTAAACCTCTTGGTTTTTTTCCTTTGCTTATTATTTTAAATATTATTATTACTGTAACTATTATTATTTTTCGTCATAATTTATGCCCTTCATGCAAAGATTTCCTCAATACTATCATTTATACTATCCGGACTTATTATTACTGATATCATCTATTTCTCAATATATGCCTCCACCTGACACCTTTTATAAACTTGAAGTGACTTGTCAATTTTCCTACCCCACACTCTACAAATCTATTACGACTAAGCACCACCATTGTCTCCCATTTTACAAAATTTTGTAATCGATCTCAGCCTAGCACGACGTTTGTCACACAAATACGACTATTTATTTTGACTCCCCATACATAACTAATCTGTTATTCTACGTTAAAAAATGCATCCGCCGCCACATAACTAACAACAAACACTATATGTATTTTAAAATTGTCAGAACCTGAAGAGTAATTATTGAAAAGAATATTCGTCGTTCAGACTGACTTTTAATACACATGAAGATTGCAATGAATAATATATTTATTAAGAAGACAGTTGCAGCTAAGAAAATTTTCTTTTCGACAAAGTCATCAACTAG